TTTGAGATATTACACCCCACGGTAAGAAAATGTGTTGAATTAATTTCTTTGTCACTGTATGAGTAACAGAAAAAGTCCATGGGATAAATATTATTTGACTTCTGCTCAATTATAAGCAAGTTACTCTATCAGTGTTGAACTTTGAGGGTTTAAGTGCTATTAAATTTTTCTGGATCTAGCCTGTGGGCTGACTCTCTCTAACCAAACCAGCACAATTTTATTTTTGAAAACTTTGATTGAGATGTTGGCAAGAAATCCAGTGTTGGAAAACCTCCAAGCAACTGCATCACTGAGAAAGGCATAATAAATGGCTAAGCCCAAACCTGGAAGAAAAAACTCATTCTTTATAGTTACAACTCTGTCTGGGCAAGTAATTTCATCCATTAAATTCACGAATTTTCCAATCTTAAGAATTTTTATAAACTTATGAGACTGATCGTGATCAGGTTGTGGGAGTAGTTGGGGCTTTTGGAGGGGAAAAAACAAAACCCTAAAACCATTCCAGTGAAGATCAAGATGACACAGAAGCATTGCCTTCTACTCAGTAATATGTGAAACTTAAGTCATCTATTTTTTGATGACCATAATGTTTCCCTAGAATGCAAAGTGTTGTGTTATAGCCTCTGGAATATGAGCTGTGGTAAGATTCCCAAGACCCATATTGGCAGAATTTCTCTCTTTGGGCCAGTTGTGCACTCATCCAGATGGAGAACTAAAATCATTCTTCTGCCTTGGAGGATTACACAGTGCATTGTGCAACTTTTGGTATAATGATTTTATTCTCAGAGGCGAGGGGTGGATTGTCATGGTTTGACCCGGAAGTATTTACAGTTCAGAGCAATACTGATTTGGCATCTAAATTTAAACTTTGTCCCAGTATAAGTACACATATCTTTGTGTAGCCTTATTTCTGTTTTTTCATATCTTAGATAAAACATGTTTGCTAAAAATAAATAATTGAAATCACTTAACACTTCAAAGTGATAAGTCAATAACATTTTTTGATAAGGCAAATCCATTATTAACAGTCCACACAGAGGGGTTATCTTTAATCTCCTATGTGTGTCCAATCTATATTTATAGAAGTAATTTTAAAATCATGAAAGCAAATGATGAAAAATGGAGAGGAAGAAATTAAGTAGAGGTAAAGAATCTCTCTTTTCTGCTGTCTTTCATCTATAAAATAAACTCTGGGATTCACATCCATTTCATTAAAGGTCTTCCCTGAGCCTCCTTTTCTCCATGCTAAACAGCCTCAGCTCCCTCAGCTGCTCCTCATAAGATGTGGACTCTGACCCTTCACTGCTCTGTTGCCCTTCCCTGGACACACTGCAGCACCTCTATTTCTTTCTTTCAGTGAGAGCTGAAGTGGAAGCCAAAAGGAGCACTGGATGCTCATTATAGGAGTGGAATCACAGGGACTAAGGCTGAGGAGCAGAGTTAGATATGAACATTTCTTAGAAAGAAAGGCTAGGGAAAATTTTCTTCAGACATTCTGCACTGGACAAGAGTGCTAAAGGTTATGGTATTGCAGACCTCCATTTAATCTACTTTGTTTGGTTTTATTTCCATTCTTTGTGAATTGCCAGTTACTTTTTCAGATCTGACACCTTTGACAAACATTCTTCCTCTGTGCACTCTTGAAGATATATTGTGCGTATTTTTGTTCTCCTCAGATTTCCAAAGCACAGTTTGGGAGAATTAATTTTCAAAGCTCAGTTTCAACAATATTTTTCAAAATGGCTGGCACAGCTTTGATTTATGATTTCCATCATAACACCTAGAGTAAAACAATCTGCTCTTGTTTAAAAACATTCAGTTCTTTCATTTTTACTTTGGTTTTCAGCAAGTTATATAAACTGCAGCAGTTCCACCACCTGCTGCCTACACCAGATGAATTTATGTTAACATTTTAGTTCAGATCAGGAGTGGACTTTTGAAGCAAATCTCCTGTCTGCACCCCACTTACTAAGCTTTGGTTTGCACAATAGAGTTGTCTCACAGTGGGTGGTATGGGTTCCTCTTAACTGGTACCAAACAGGAATTGTGTTGCAGGAGAGTACTTTATACCCTTCAGCAGCCAATGGGCATTCAGCCCAGGGGACCAGACAGAGCTAGACTGAGGTAAAAACCTTCTGAAAAACATCTGGTATGGACATCTGGTCCTCAACCTCAACTGTTTCCTTCTATAAAGCTACTTGTATTGTTCAGCACTATTTGCTACTATACACACCCAATATCTGCTCCAACACTTGCAGAATTCATGCATAGAAGTGTATTTTACTGCTGAAATGTAATTTGGGTCATCGTGACCAGACTCCAGTTCTCCATTCCTTCTCAGACTCTATTCCTTAGGGGATCCCCCTTGTTTCTGCCCCACATCAGACCCTGCCATTGATTTCCTGTACATGTTGTTCCACAGTTTTTTATCAATGCTACAGCTACACACTGTCTCTGGGATGAGCAAAGATTGCAAATTTTATCATGAGATGCACGTTAGGACTTTGTTTCACACTGAGCCCCAAGTAATGACTACCAAGTTGTAGAACTTAAGTTCTACATACAAACCACAAAATACAAAACTATGGAAGTTGGAAGGAGATTGTAGTTTCTCTGGTTTTAATTTACTTGTTTTCACTGAACATAATTGTAGACAGTAGAGAATTTAAAGACAAGATGAAAAATGCAATAATGTCTTTCATCAAAAGAAGCAAGGAAGAAATTTTCCAAAAGCACCATAGTGGAAAAAAAAGAAGAGTAGTGTTTTTAGTCAGTTCTAATGTCAATGGTGGGAAGAGCAGAATAGCAGAAATGCATGTTGGAAAAAAAAGATTATGTTCTGAAGGAGAGGCTGCAGGTGAGCTACGGGATTGGGTATGTCAGTGTTAAGAGAATGGAGATTTCTACTGCCTTGAGCAACTGCAGGAGTCTGGGGAAGTGTTTGGCTTTGACAAAAGGAGCAAAAGAAATAGAGCGTGGAGTAGGGAGTGCAGCTTAACTCCAAGGAATGGCCATGGGCAGCCGTCTCAACCCAAACTGGCAGAAACCTGTGAGAGAGAGCTTTAAAGAGTTTCCTGCAGCTTGGAAAATCACTGAGCTGTCTGAAATCAGACCTGGAAACAGGAGCCTGTTTGCAATGATGCACAGGGCAAGCTGAGAGTTATTTGTGTCCTTTCTGACCCTGTTTGGAGGCTTTTCTGTTTAAAAGTTAACTAATCTAATTTTTTTTTTTTTTAATTTCTTTCTTGATGTTAAAAGCCTTCAATATTTGTTAGAAAATTCACTGTAGAAGACTTGAGCAGATTAATATCCAAGTATTGGTTGACTTGAACTGAGAATTACCTGAGGGACACTTTTGAAAGACATTAAATATTAGCCACTCTTTTCTTGTGAAAGTGCATTCCAAATCAGGATATTGCATTATTTTTCCACGTGATAAATTAAAACTGACAACTAAAGGACAAGTCTGACTTTAGGAGGAGCTGAAAGCTTACCCAGTGTGCTATTTCCAAAGGGAAATAGTGCTTGCTTGGTACAGGGCTCAAGTGCCCACCTGTAGGATGCTGACATTCATAAGCCTGTGGCTTGATCTCCCTTTGGGTTGTTGGACTGTTGTTCCTGACAGTTCCTTCTGTTGCTATTTGCAGGCAGTAAATGTGTTTGCATACCATCTGCAGTAATTCTGATGGAGCAAGGTGATACTGGTAACTGGCTTAATGTACTTGTTCAATAATTTAGTTCAGGTTTCTTTCTAGGTGGCTATCCAGGTGAGCATCTTGTATTACTGCCTATTGTCATGTTTACAGGACTGGCTGCATATCTTCTTCCCCCTATGAGTTTTCTGAGTGCAGTAGGAGAGCTGTCCTTGCCTGGAGTACAAGATAGCAAATCTTCACTGACAGACTTGGATGTGGCACACTGGCCTGTAAATGAGCATCGGTTTATTTCAACATAACTAATAGAATTCAAATATATGCACTGCATACACTATTAGTTCTTAACTGCTAGTAAGTGGGAAGTTAACTGAAGTAATTCCATTTTCTTGAATCTGTATCGTTAACTCTTGGTTTTAATTAGCATTTTGAAGTATTGCCAGAAATCCTTGTCAGGAAAAATATCTATATGTTTTCAAACACATTAACATAGACAAAATATTGTTCCATTTATATTAGTATGTTATATAAACAAAATATTATCAGAGCCAATGCTACTGCATCATGCTGATTTGTGGAGTACTTGTCCATTTTCTGAAAATAATCAAGTCTTTGGTGAAGGACACACTGCCTGTGTCCCTGGTTTGTGTCTGGACTGGCCCCAGTGAAATGCTCCGCCAGCCCTGTGCCCTGGAGAAGGCGCTTGCTGCGGCACAGGAGCTCCTCTCTGCCGGGCAGCTGCAGAGGGAGACAGATGGCTGCAGTGAGAGCTCACAGCCCTCCTCGGGCACAGCTGGGCCATACAGCCAGCCCCTCAGACACAGCATCGCTCATGTTTTTTTCCTTTTCCAGGGTAAAAACAGTTTACCTTTCCCCCTCTGTGTAAGAAATTCTCCAAACATCTCACTGCTTCTTTATATTTAAAAACCTTACCGGATATGACTTCAATGGGCAAAAGGAACATTTACATTGGTATGGTTAAAAGTTATTTGGGTAGGATAGTTTTCTAGCAGTTCCCATGGTTTTTGCATGCTGATTCTGTTCATCTGAAAGCTTTTTTTTTTGTGTAATGTACATTGTTTATGAGGGTTTTGTTGTTGTTTTATGCTTTCCTTGGAGATTCTTAAGAATGTATGTGTTGATGTCTACAGTCCTCAGAGTGTGACTTAACTGCTGAAGGTAGGAATCAGTGGTAGGTGTGCTAAATATTGCTACAGACAAAGTCTAAAATAAGGGCCAGTACTCTGATCTCAGATTGCAAACTGTGTTTTAACATTGCCACAATAAAAAATGTATGGATGCCAGTTTGCATTTAAATGTATTTACCCCACATGTTTTGATTTCTAGGAACTTTGAACCAAAAGAACTGGGGCAAGAAATATTCTGCCTGTAATGGTGCCAAACAATCGCCTATTAATATAGATGAAGACCTTACCCAAGTTAATGTGAATCTGAAGAAACTTAAATTCCACGGATGGGAAAAGGAAACTTTGGAAGATACTTTCATTCGCAACACTGGCAAAACAGGTAAAAAAATCAGATTTCATGTTTGGAGTTAAGAGGTCTGAAAAGTGATATAGGACAAACAACCAACCAAGCACTTTTACTGAATCATTTTCTTTTCACTTAGCTGATGCATTCTGAGTTTATCTACTAAATAAAAAAACAAAACAACAGTGATGACAGTTGAAAAATGAAACAGAAATCACACAAGCAAAAATTTTTATGTGCATGGACAGATACAGCCAAAGCAATCACATCATGACTATCATCCCATCATGGGCATGTCATTAAATCTAAACAGTAAACTGGCATTTGCTGTGAAATTATGGTAATTATTACTATATATCTAGAATCTGTAGTGGGTAGGCAAAAATGATTTTTTAAAAGTACAAATAAATTACCTACTCAGCTGAAAGCACTTCATGGATGAGCTGAAGTGACAAACAATTCAGGTTGGGATTTATCTCACCTACACATAGACACGTATAATATAGAAACTTCCATCTGAATTACTCACATAGATACCTCCTAACAGTCAAAGAAGAGAAATGTGTGCTTTTGTGTTCTGATTTGTTTTACCAATCTTAGAAATACATTTTAGAAAGAAGTGATTTATACCTACAAGTGCCTATTTTTCCCAGCCGTGAAGAAAGCTTATGGTGTCATCTAAATTGTCAGACAAATCTTTTTACAACCACTTACAAATCCAGGAACATAGTAACTAAAAGCTGCTTGTTAGAAGTACTTTTCCTTGCTCTTCGGGCATGGGTGTGGAGGAAGGTATCTCTTAACAACTGTCTTTGACCTTCTACCAGTTCCCAGTGGGACCTCTAGATCAGCCTTTTTGGTTTAGTTTCGTTTAGTTTGATTTAGTTCAGTTCAGTTCAGTTTAGCATCATTGTTCCTAATTTCTGTTCTTTCTGTCATGTAGTTCCTACATACCACTACACAAACCACTTACTTCCCTCCTGCCCTACCAGCTGAGATAAATATTGCTTTGTATTTTCAAAACACCCCTGAGAAAATGTTCTTTAAAGTCCTTAAAGTGCACTGAGATCTTTCTCATCTGCAGCAATCTGGATATTTTCAAGGAACTGCTAAGCTTTTTTAAATGGTCTTCAAAGTTTTGAGGAAAGGAATCAGGGAAAACGAACTCCATTAGTGCTGTTTTATATAGAGGTCAAGCAGTTCACAGTTGCTGAAGATGAGAAAGACAAAATGTGGGGCTTCAGTCTATCCCATCCTGCTCATTCTCTCCAGAAGACAAATTTTCTGTCCCATCTACAGCTTGCGTACAGCTATGTCCAGCTGAAGACCTGTCATTGCTTTTTCCCATGGGAGACAGCTCCACAGCTAAGGAGTCTTACAGTAGGACAGCTGGCTAAAATATTCTTTTGTCATGTTGCCTCATGATTTGTATATAGAATTGTGGTAAAAATGGGGGGCAGGTGTGTATTTTCCTTTTCATTAGAAACACAGACCCTTTCAGGAAGGTATGCAATTCAGGAATTTATTTTCTTAAACAGCCAGCTGGTGGCTAGCCCGACCAGCTTTCTGAGCTTTTTAGTGTAGTTCTGTGTCTAGTTTCAGATAACAGGAAGCAAAGTGCACTTCATTAAATTAGTATTTTATGAACTACAGCATGAAATGAAACATATTCTCCATGCTAATAGAAAATTACCACACTTGTTACTTAGTTTAAGTAACCAATTTCCTGTCCAATTGCTTATGAAATACAGAGAAATAAGCATATCATATTTAACTTCTAGCACCTAAAACTGAAATATGAGAGTTATAGATACCTTGGCTGGATTTTATATTCACACTCCTTTTTTTTCCCTATTTCTCAATTTTTTCAGTGGAAATTAACCTGACAAGTGATTATTATGTGAGTGGAGGTGGGTTAGACACTATATTCAAAGCAAGCAAGATCACTTTTCACTGGGGAAAATGCAACGCATCATCAGACGGATCAGAACATAGTCTAGAAGGACAAAAATACCCTCTTGAGGTAAAGTATAGAATTGATTTTGATAATTTCAACAATTTGACATTCTGCAACATTACTACTCTACAGAATTCCTTTTTCATCTCTTAAATCTATTTGCAAATATAATCATTCACTTAAATCCAAATTAAGGATAAACTATGCATTTTAGAAGGGCAGTGTAACATGTAAGTGGCATATTAAGAATGTCTAAACTGCATTTTCCCCAATTTTATGGTTCTAAAACCATATTAGATGTCAGTTCTGCTAATCTGACAAAGCTGCCACTAAATGTTAAGCTCCTACAAATTTGGCCCATCGTATTCCACAAGTTCATTGTTCAAAGTGCAAATGGACTTTGCAAAGTCAGGGCTTTGCTGAGAACCCATGGGAGCTGCTGGGCCTTACAGATACAAAGCATGGGCTGGAAAGAGCTGGCAGTGGTGTGCCAAGAGCCACGGAAGCAGGTCCTGGCTGCAGCCACATTCCTAGGCAGCCAGGCCAGCGTTCCCCTGGCTGGTTTGGCAGAACGGGTTGCAGCAGCATGGGAGTGTGGTAGAGGAGAGGAGCAGCTCTTCCTGGGATGCACAAAGGCCAAACTCTCTTCCCTCAACATGGCATTGTGTCATCTTCCAGTTCAAAAGAGGCAGCTGTGGCAGGCAACTGTGCTGTTCCTCATTCCATGCATTTTGAACTTCTATGTGAAAGCAAAGCAATAGTGCCAGGGCTGGCCTATACATGGGGAAGAGTGGTCAGCCAGGAGCAGTCCCTGGACAGTGTCATTTCTTTTACTTCACTAGCCACTTAAAAATTCCCAATCACACTCCAGCTCTCCTGACAAGGCATCACAGAGAATACTCTCTTCCATCATCGTCTCATAGAAAGCTAGTAGGAGCAGTGACTCCCCCATACATGTTGGTCACCCAGCACTGGAGGAGATTTCCCAGCTGCATCTGGAGAAAGAGAGAAAGAGGTGCAACAAAACCAATTCTCATGACAGCAGTCAGATGCGGGTTCAAAGTTCCTGGTAATCTTATATTACTGATGCTTTTCTACACTTACTGCAAGGTAGATGCAGTAGGGACATCTTGACATATTATTCATGTTTTGTCACTGATGTACAGATTGACTTCACCAAGTACTCTAGGTCAGGTGTCCAGATATCTCAGCTTACTGTATTATCCATGGAAAGCATTGTTCTCCTTGAAAGGGTAATTCCTGCGCCCTTAATAGTTGTCCAGGAGGGATTGTTTTTACATGGCTAATTATTGATGAATTCCATTCTGCATCCTCAGATAATACAAACAAGAGAGGTAAAAAATCCTTGAATTTGTTTAAAATTTTTTGTTTGGGTGTTTTTTTCCCCTCAAAATGGGAATATAAATAGTTGTATTGTTGAATGTTTACAATTTTTTATATATAAAATTTGAATGTATTTTTAATTGCAGATGCAGATCTACTGCTATGATGCAGATCAGTTTACAGATTTTGAAGAGGCAGTTAAAGGAAGTGGAAAGTTAAGAGCTTTATCAATTTTGTTTGAGGTAAACAAAATATGTCTTTGTGTAATTTAATAAGCCTTGAAACACAGCAGATATTCAAACTGAATTTAACTGGTTCCAATGTGTGATCACTGAGTTAAAAAATTTCATCTCTTTTTCTAATTTATTCTTGCAGAAAAGCAAATGGGAAAAATAAGTTTATTTGGCTTTAAATCGTCTATAATTTTGGTGGTAAATTGTAGCTTTCAATCTTTTTTTTGTGAAGCTGTACTGTTAAAATATGCAATTTCTTTTTAACAGATTGGACCAGAAGACAATCCGGATTATAATCCAATCATTAATGGAGTAGATAGTGTTAGTCGTTTTGGTAAGTTTCCCCCATTTTTTATTGATTACTGATTAACTAAATTCCACTTCAGTGTGATTATGAAACCTTTAAGATATTGATGAGCATGGTTCTGTATTGCTCAGTCATGTCTATTTTGTTAGAAATGACAGAACTCATCTGGACAGATAACAAATGGACAATCACCAACCACATGAAATGTAACATTAGCAAGTGTCAGATTCTGCTCCTGGGAAAGAGGAATCCTGGTTATATGTACAAACCAGGGAGGGAGAGTCTGAAGAGCACCCCTTTGGGAAAAGGTTTGGGGTTTGGTTCAATGGCAAGTTGAATGTGAGTCATCAGTGCCCTGGCAGCCAGGAGGGCCAGCCATGTCCTGGGGGGCATCAGGCCACAGTATGGCCAGCAGGGCAAGGGAGGGAATTGTCCTGCTCTGCTCTGAGCTGGGACGGCCTCACCTCCAGTGCTGGGGCAGTTCTGGGTGCCACAGTGTAAGAAGGACGTCAGCCTATTTGGCTGCATCCAGAGAAGGGCAACCAAGATTGTGAAAGGTCTTGAAGACAAGGAGTGTCTGAGGTCACTTTGTTCAGCTTGGAGAAGGGTGCCTCATCACAGTCAGCAACTTCTTTAAGTGGGGTGACAGAGAAGCATTTGCTGACCAGTGGTAAGACATGAGGAAACGGGATGAAGCTGTGTCAGAAGTTCAGACTGGGCAGTAGAAAAGACCTTTCACTGGGATGGTGATCAGTAACAGCCTGGGAACAAGCTCCCCAGAGAAGTATGTGGTCATGGCACCAAGCATCTGGATGATGCTCTTAGTCATATTGTTTAGTTTTAGATAATCCTATGAGGAGCAAGGAGTTGAACTTGATGATCCTCACGTTTCTTCCAACTTGAGATATTTTATGTTTCTCTGATTAATTTACCCCAAGAATATTTGTAACAACAGACATGTAAGTGAATAAATACAACTATCATGAGAAATTTGTAACTGCTTAAATGCTAAATCCAGATAAATCTGATTTATTGTGTAAGTCTTCTTAATCATACATGTCAGGATTTTTATATTTGGTTGGAAGCCAGGTAAGACTCTTGTAAGTATCCAGAAAGGGTCTTACAAGAGTGAGACCATCAGCACTCAGTAGACTCAGAGGAGTGAATTTTGTTTTTCAGTAGCTCCTGTGTAAATCCAAAATAGTTCAAATATATTGTATTGGTAGTGGTTGCTAATCAAGAAACGTCTTCAATGTGCACAAAGAGATCTGGACTATGTTTCTAACTCAGTTTCGTGGTGTCTTTGCAGATGAATAAATATGAATGAGCACTGTCTTGAACAGGGATATAGTCTTACATCATGTCCATGACTTTAAGGAAACCTTGTCTGTTTTCCTTTATGTAATGGTGCTTGAATGTAAAAAGCTGTTTTAAAAGCCTTCAAAAGTGTGACACTGAAATCAAGACTTCTTTTTTCCCTCTGGAAAACAAACACTATTGAACAAATTTAAAAGGGAACACCTTTCATAAGTTAGAAAGACATAGGGGGTGGAAATATAAAGTAATTAAGATTCATTACTTTTGTGTGTCATCTTCTGTGAAACAAAAAGGAGAACTAGTAATACATCAAGACAGATGCCGTCCTACGGCCTTGGAAGGAGCTGTAAAACTATCAGAGCAAGATTCAGGATACAGCCACTACATGGCACTTCAACAATGCTTAGAATACAATTTTCCTGAATAAAATGCAGATGAGCTCAGGAAATTCAGGTCATAACCAAATCAAGTTGTTTCTTCTGAAGAAAAGCGCACAATCTCTCCTTGTCAGTCATATCTCTGTTGTGCTTATTTGAATCGCAGTTGCTGAGCTCTCAAGTTCTGCAGAGGAGCAGTCCTGTTCCTTCTAGACAAACTTTCTGGTTTTCATCATTCTTTATAGGTGTTTGATTTTGAGAATCTAGCCTGTGAGTCTCATTAAAGAGTGTTCTAAAATCCAAATTTGCAAAATGTATGGCAGGATTCTTATTATGAATGAGAAGTTTCAAGTCCCCAGCCATCTATATAAAATGGACTTCATTTTTGCTGAGGGACAAATGTGTTAACCAGACACATACCAGATAGCAGTCATAGCTTCTGTCTGAAGGCTGATTAGCATTTTGACAGGAGAAATGGAAGGATGTGCTTTGCTCTACACTGCTAAATGTTCCCTCTTCATGATACATGAGAGAGAGGGGATGAGTCAGCTCTTAAACCTTTACTCAGCAGAGAAGTCACTGCAGAGAAGAAAAGCACCAATCCCTTATAGTCAACTGTTAATGCAATTTACTGCTCTCACCAAATTTGTAAGGGATTATGAAAACAAAGACAGGTCAGAAATCTGTACAGGGCTGAAGAAGTAACATACCTGTAAAAGCATGAGTTAATGCACAGGCTGAAAATTCATTAGATATTCAGAAGTAAGTACTTACCAATTAGGGAGGAACTTGAAATGAGTAAGTTTAGATTGAAGTAAGTTGTATAAGGATCTACACTATTACAAGGTGTGAAAAGCAGCATTATTTTGCATGCACCAGACAGTAAAGCAGATAATTGTCACAGACTGAAAAGTCAGCCTTGCTGAAATTGTTACCATTTCTGCCAATTGCTGTTGCTGGACCCTACTGCCACCCAGCAGACACAGTTTTCTGTGGGTGGACTTCCAGCAATCCCTCATGCTCACTCCCAGCTGACAAGGTACCCAGTAAACTGATGACCTGAAAGATGTGATATTATTTTATCATATTATCACATTATTATTTTATTATTTTACAGAATGTGTTCTCCCGGAGGAGGTCTTTGCATCGTTTGCTGATTTGTGTAAAACTGTTGCAGTTTTTCACTATATTATCACCATTTCAAAAAGAATCCTGATCCACAGAAATTCTGCTTCTGCAATCATGAGTAATATTAACCCTCAGGCCTAGCATGGCGAATGTTCCCCAGGCAGTGATTTTCTGCAAAAAACTCAACAACTTGATTAAATTGCAGGAGTTTGAAGCCATGTCATGAGACCTAGAACAAAGATTGAATAATTTTTTTTTCTTTGAAATTCAAGAGTGAGACAAATGTTTGGCACCTTGCATGTAAGCTTACAGTGAGAAAATTCTTGTGATCCAATATACTAAAATTAGTCTGTTTGTTGCTGGAGAAACTTACTACACCTTCCAAAGTAAACAAAGCTGGGTTTGAGCTATTCTTTTTCAAATGAAATAGATTTCATGATTTATTTTTATGCTAGTCTCTGGAGATTAAATTTTGTAAAGCCTCTAAATTAACATGTTCCCATAATGGTAGTTCTTTTGGAGAGTGTGATTTGTATTTATTAATTGCTTCTGTAGTATTTTAACTATCTGACTATTTTTCTTTTTTGTTTTCTCAGGAAAACAGGCCGCCTTAGAACCATTTATTTTGCTGAATCTCTTGCCAAATGCAACAGACAAATATTACACTTACAATGGGTCTCTATCAGCTCCTCCGTGCTCTGAAACAGTTGAATGGATTGTGTTTAAAGATACCATAAGTATTTCTGAAAACCAGGTAACTTGTTTAATGTAGTAAAACTGAACAATTATGCACAATACCAAAAAGAAATTGCCGTGTATATAGTAGAAGCTTATGGCATTCATTGCCAGGCCAACAACAAAGTTTTTCTTTTATCTAGTTAGAAGTTTTTCGTCAGCTGTTAAATTAGAAAGCATCTATATTAATTGTGTTATCTTTTACATTTTTTATAGTTTAGTACTAGAATCTGAGCAATTAAAATAGGGTAAGAATATATGTTCAGGCTGTCTGGACTTCGAGCTCAGATAAAAGGGACTACAAAACACTTTTGGATATTCCCCCAGCCACGTGGTTATGCTGAGCAAAGCATAGCTCCAACAGCTGAGTGGTTGAAAACTACTTGTGGAGTAAAACATTAGATATACTGATAGAACAGAAGAAAAGTTCAGTGCCATGCAGGATAACTCACCTGTGAGATTTTATCCAACATCTTTTCCTCAGAGTTTTTTGCCTATTAGCAGAAACAGGTCAATTTTTATGGCTTCTAACTTATTTTTTTTTTCCTCTTGTCTTCTAGTTAGCTGTATTCTGTGAAGTGCTTACAATGCAGCAGTCTGGCTATGTTATGCTGATGGACTACCTGCAAAACAACTTCAGAGAACAGCAATATAAGTTCTTTGGGCAAGTGTTTTCCTCTTACACTGGACAAGAAGAAATTCATGAAGCAGGTACTTAACTGAATAGTCATTCCTCTCTTCACAAGTTAAAAGACAATTTTCAGTAAAAAATTCATCCAAGTATGCCGTTACTCATTTTAAATTGTGTAGAAAGTAGCACACTGTGTTATTAGTCATAAATCTATCACTTCAGTGAAAAAAAACAGCAATCATAAAACGTCAGATTAAATGGAGTGGAAAATTAAATGCTTGTCTTGACCAAGCATTCAGTGAAAATCACGTCAGTTCAAGCTTCCTTACAGTGCCCTTTTAATGTGTTTCAGACTTCAACAAAGCTGCCTTTTCAAAGACGGCAAGATTATTTTGTTTTACAAACCTATTTCGTTCTTTATCGTGTAGTGTGGATGCTTTATCAACAGAGACTGAAGGGTTGTCACCAAATTAATTTCATGTAGTTTGCTTAGAAAGTGATGGATGCAGAAAATTCCAGAAGACAGATTCTGTTCTCGGTCTTACCTAAAACTTCAGGCAGGTTTGAGAAGGTTATGTGACCAAAATAATACATTACGTAGTGGGAAAGAAGATTTGGCACTAAATATGGAGGTTAATGATTCCTATACTAACAAGCACAAAAGAATATATAGAAAACTTCTTAACTGGAAGCACTATGTTACTGCTTGGATGAGAATACGTGTAGATTCTTTAACTCAGTTTCACTGAACTGTGTTCAATTAGACATAAACAGATGACTTAAGCACAGGTTATAGGTGTTCTCCAGATTAGAAGTGTGGTTTCATGCATTTACATATTTATGTGATCACACATGTAGATAGATGCACACAAATGCAACTATGGGGTTTGTTTAATGTAGAACATCAGAGAAGCATTTATATTTTCACCTCCATTTTAAGACAAAATTTAAAAACCCTGGGAATCATTAAACTTAAATGTTCATATGTAAGAGCTGTAACACAAATGCCAAAGTCTCTAAGAGTCAATAGGCTTATTCATGTTTAATATTGCATAGTAGTCCACAGAAAAAACTAATCTTTTTAATCCCTTTAGAGGATGTACGAGAAATGCCAAGACTGATTATTACTCAGGTAGATAACTGAAAAATTATTTTGTGTTGTGAAACTTAGAGTCCCAATTATCTCCTGTTGCGTTCAGTGTAGATTCTCATTAGGGAGTAGGATTAAATGCTTGATTTATTGCTGTAATTAATACGTGACATTTCATAAGTAGAACTAAGTTTTCTTAGAAAAGCTAGAAGTATCTTTCTATTCCATTATAAAGTAATTTGAGGAATTTTCCAAATATTTTCAGGAATTTTCTCACAGTGACATCCCCAACATTTTTGGTGTACAAGCACAGTCCTACTAAGGGCATGGGAGATGCTTCATTCCCCAAACCTGCCTAGTGATACACATAATTTCCCTATGCAATATGTATGTAGCAATTTAAGAAGATTAAAATAGATAATCCTTACAGCCATGCTTGAGGATTCATCTAAAAAAAAGTGTTTTGAAGTTGTAATGCTTAATCTCCACCAACCTCAGCTGGCATGCAAATCCATTTATAATCAAAATCATTGTTTATTCCTGTAAACCTGAGAACCATTGTGGTGGCTGCTGGGCACATTGGATCACTTTCCATCCGTTCCACCCTTCTGGTAAGGCCTTGGAAATAAGGGCTGAAACCTAACTCTTATTTATCTTCCTGGATTTAGTAAGGTATAAAAAACAATGGGTCCTTAAAATTCAAGACTGACAATATATATTGATAAAAAGTCAGCCTGTTTTCCCATGAGAAATACAACCCTGTAAAGTTCAGTGGCTGTGTCAGTTAAATTCTCTTGTGAGACATGGGGTCAGGACTCGTGCCTTTGCCCTTTCATGTTCCTCAGTCCAGGTGACTTCAGTGTGAATTCTCAGATTCCCAGATATGTTTGGGACGCTTCAGCTGGCACAGTGTGTGGGGTGCAGGTGCCCAGGCACTGGCAGTGGTGGGTACAGGGGGAGCCTCTGTGAGGAGAGCCCAGGGCTGCCCCGAGTCAGACCCAGACAGTTCCAGCTGGCTCCAGCCCACCCATCTCAGGGCACAGGAGCCGTGGTGGCGGCACCTCTGGGAAAACAAAGCTGCGCCGCAGTGAGGAGTGAGGGAGACGTGAGAAACTGCTCTGTCACACCCAGGTGAGAGAAGGAAGAAGGGGAAGAGGTGCTCCAGTAGCAGAGCAGAGATTCCCTAATGCGGCCTCTGCCGGGGTATGCCCCGTGGGCTGCAACGGTCTGGAGAGCACAGCCTGTCCGAGCTCCTGAGCAGCTGCTAGCCACAGGCAACCTTAGCAAGCTCAGCTCTCGGTGATTTCAGCTCTTTAGCGATTATCAGCTCTTTGTGAATTCAGCTCTTTAGCTTGCTGAGTGCCGGGCAGACGCAGGGAGAGAGAGGAGAAGGCCGTGCAAGGTTCCTTAGGGAAGTCTTTATTGGGGTCTTCTACGAAGGTTCTCAGGGACAGCTCTTCTGCCAAACTGGGCAAAAATGGAGGTTTATATAGGCTACAGGGGTTTTGGAAATTGTCTAACAGTAAGGGTCAAAGGAAAGTGACCTATAGTCTTACAGAGAGATAAGCAGGGTCCGAAAGGCAGAAGAAGGGGCTTGTAAGGCCCGAGTCATCATGACTTGGCATTGCCTGTCTTGGGCTGCTGACCGCCATGGAGGCATTGCAGGCCCTGGGCCTGCTACAATTCCCCTGCAGCGCACAGTGAAGGTTATGGTGAGGCAGCCTGTCCTGTGGCAGACTGTGGAGATTCCATGTGGGAGCAGGCTGCTGGCTGTGGTTTGTGGAGAGGAGCCCATGCAGGAGCAGATTATCTGTCAGGTCTCTGACCCTAGGGAGGACCCACAGTGTAGGAATGTGTTCCCAAAAGACTGTCCAGAGGCTGGAAAAATCATTAAAGACTGTATCCTGTGGATGGGATTCCACACCGGAGCAGAGGAACAGCATGAGGAAGGAGCAACAGAGGCGAAGTGTTATAAGCTGACCAAAATTCCCATTCCATATTCCCCTGTGCCACTGGGAATGGGGAGATGGAAGAGTCAGGAGTGAAGTTGAGCCTAGGAAGAAGCAAAGGGTGGGGAGGTTTCATAGTTTTGGTTTTGTTTCTCACTATCCTACTCTGTTTTTATTGGTGATAAATTTCCCCAAGTCTAATCTGTTTTGCCTGTGATGATGGTTGGAGAACAATCTGTCTTTATCTTGACCCATCAGCTTTTTCATCTTACTTTCTTCCCCTGCCCTGCTGAGGATGGTGAGCGGGCATGTGTTTGGGTGGGCAGCTGGTGGCCAGCCAAGGTCAACCCAGCAGACATCTGCTGTGCTGCTCCACCTCCGTTACAGAGAGTGTGTATCTGGAATATAGAAAAATTGCTTTTTGCCACACACTGCAGGGATCTACAAAGCCTCTGAATATCTGAATGTAAATGAAGTGATTTCATGGCTTCAACAATTGAAAAGTTGAATTGAAAAGATAATCTCAAACATAGATTTAACTAAAGTAGAAGAACGCAACAAAGGTGGGAGAGAAAAAAGCCAAATTTGGGCAGGTTATAAAGGTCTTCTGGTCAAAAACATAGCCCAGGCAATTTTTGGCAGTGATTTAGCTGATGTACCCCCAGTGGTTCCCCATGATGCAATTAAGTTTAGATTAAAATTTCCTAAGTTACATGGGTAGCATTTTATTCCACAGAAGAATAAGCAAAGATAGATGCATTGCTACAACGTGATGTGATACGCAAAACCAGAATCTAAGTATTCACCTGGAGAAAGCAGAGACTTGGCTTCAAGTTTAGCAGGGGTTTGAGTAGGCCTCTGACTTTCTGTGAATTTTTTTGCAAATTTTTCTGTGAATTTGTGTCTTCAGACTAGTAGCAGACTCAAGAACTCCCTTTCTTGCAGTCTCTTTGCTCAGATTTTCTAAAAGTCGGTATCACAGCAGAAGTACTTAATTAGGTAAGTTTTCGTGTGGTCTCCTTTCTAGTCTCTGGAGAAGGAAAATGGGAAAAATTAGAGTAAAGTACTTCTGTGTTACTGACTGGTAGGAAAAAAAAAGAGATCAGCAGGATGATTTATGAAGTGACATAAGAAGGGCAAGAGAAAAGATTTTGGGAAGAAATTGAGGTGAAATAGTATGTACATGATTGTCATGTAGTAGTATTGTCAGTCATTGCTGAGATGAACCTCAAAGGGAGAAGAACAAAAAGGAGGACTTTTTTTTATGTGAAAAAATAGAAAAACCACCTGGAAAAGGAAAAAATAAAACAAAGAAATAACACTGGAAGAACAAACTTTGTACCTTTAAAAGTTTTATAATACTGCTCTATGAGTCTGAATACAGGCAGAGATTTCAGAACCAAATTCACTCATAAGAAAAAAGATGAAGGGAGGAAAAAAGACTGTAGAGAAGAATTTGGAATACAGAGAAGCTTGTTGTTTATATTATAAAAAAGTATTTTGACAAGAATTTTAAACACCTTTGGAAAAAAATAGCTGAGGAGTCTTTAGATTCATTGAAAAATAATGAAATCTGTTTAAATCATCTGTGTTCATGCTCAGAATTGAAAAGGGCTAGTCTAATGATTTCTCCTTGCCATCTGGTGGAAATGGGGAGGAATGACACATTTTAGGAATGGAATGGAATGGAATGGAATGGAATGTACACAACATGAGATTTTTTTTTAATTTGCTCTTTCTCTGCATCAATTAAAATAATTAAGTCTAATTAATAAAATGATGTATCAGTTATATAGCACAGTAGATGCAAAACTCAGAAAGGGAATTTGCCTAAATTACACAGACTAACGCTGCCTCTGCTGTTAGCTTACACAGACAAACACAGAAGTTTGGAAAGCCGTGCTGCTTGTTTTCCATTGGCTATCTCAGACGGAAGCTGCTCAGAACTTCCCACCTTCCCTGGGGAGGGAGAGAAATTATTTTGACAAATATTTTGACGGGGTTTGAGTGTCCCCTTGTGTTCAAGTGGCGAAATGCAAAGCTGAAGGGCTTCTCTTTCAAAATGCAGCATTGTCCCCCAAAGCCTTGGGGCATCTTGTGTTCGATTCTTTTTAGAAAACTCCAAAGGATCTGCACCTGTTTTCTTAGTAAGCTAAATAGGTTTTTTTGCTTTCTTTTTCTAGATACTCATATGTTGCTCTAAGCACATTATGAGATGTGAAAAATGTTCCCTCATTTATTCCAATTCAAGCTAAAAATATAATAACAAGACAAAATATAATAACATGAAATTACTACTGTTAATGCAATACTTAGCTTCTTCTTATTTACCTTTTCTCTCTTCTTTAAGTACTATAAAAATATTCAAACAGCCTTGAGGGGAAATTCAAGCAATAGGTTTACCTTTGACCATTAAAAACTATCTACTGTAGATTAGTTTATTATAGCTAGGGCAAGAGTATGCAGCTCTTCTAGTGCTACTTTAATAGAGCCATAAAAGTAGAATTGTTGAGATTTTTTTGATTCCCAGGACAGATATAAGAATCTTTGTGTTTTATCATTTATATTTTATTTCTGAGGAACTGGGTACTAATATTTCACAAAATATGTTATAAGAGGCAGGGAGAGGAAACTCAGTCCTCAACATTACTTGCTTTTGGAAATCTAGTGTTTAAATACTGGTTCTGTTTGCAATAGCATGGCATTTCAAATATTTTAGTAGAAAGGTAAAATTGAGGCGCACAAAAAGACTTTCATTGGTTTTCTCAGGCGGTGTCTCAAGATTTTAGTAGAGTTACTTGTACCATTTGATAAATACCATATTCTTTCCTCTTTTCTTTCTTCCAGTTTGCAGCTCAGAACCTGAAAATGTTCAGTCTGACCCAAAGAATTATACTAGTCTTCTTGTTACCTGGGAAAGACCTCGTGTTGTATATGACACCACAATAGAGAGATTCGCTGTCTTTTATCAACAGCTGGATGGAGAAGACCAGACTAAGCACGAGTTTCTGACAGATGGGTATCAGGACTTGGTAACTGTAAACTCTTCAAGTTTCGTAAAAAGGGATGATGGTGGAACAACTCACTGATAATTATTGTGACGGATTAAACTGTAGCTGAGAGCTGATTGAAGAGAAATTATCTAATTTTTTGGCTATAAAGCCACAAAGACAATTTAAAACAAAAGAAAAAAAATTCTCTTGTCTAGAACAGGGAAAAACTCTACAGATTGCTGCTTTGATTTGCCTATACTTGCCATGAGCATGTCAATCACAGAGCTCCCTGCCATAAAACCCAGTTGTCAGTTAATAATAACCTGTAATTCATTGCTCATGGATGTGAAAGAATGACCTACACAAGCAACTAATGAGATTCAATTCAATTATACTGCTATAAATACTAAGTTACTGATTACAGCTTCATGGTATTTTACTAATGAGATCTGTTCCTCTAACCCTCTTTAAAGACTCATCAGACATAATGTTACCTAAACTTGTGTTCAACGCTAAATAGTTTTTTGATTTGTTATCCTCCATGTAAAAAGTCACAAGTGGTTTTTTTAATTTGACTGAAAACCATTTGTGACAATAAAATAAAAAAGCACTCATTATAATACTAGAAGAAAGGAGCTTTGTGCTTCATAAGAAAAATGTGTTATAAAAAAACTAACATTTTGAAATTATTGATACTTATTTGCAAGAAAATTATTAAATTTTTTTTTTCCTTTTAGGGGGCTATTCTAAACAATCTGCTGCCCAATACAAGTTATGTTCTTCAGATAGTTGCTGTTTGCTCTAATGGTCTGTATGGAAAATACAGCGACCAAGTCATTGTTGATATGCCTTTAGAGGATGCAGGTAAGTGGTCTTTTGAATTTAGTGATCTCTTTTAGCTGAAAAATCTGTATTTGAAGTAGTTTATTTGCAAACCAGTTGAAATGCATGACTTCCAAATAATGCCAAAATGAAATTTCAAAATCACTGCAGTTAACCTTCAGCATGTCCCTTGCTAATGATATTTTACATGACATAAGTCCGTGTAAGCACTACCTATAAAAAACTGCATGTTAATTTTTTTTTAAATTCTAAGAATATTCTGAAAAGCACCTACTTGATTTCAAATCTCACACAAATCTCACAAGTGTATCTTTTAGATGTGTAGGGAAATAAAACCATGTTTGGTATTATTTCTCTATGGTTCAAGCATCCTCTCAAAATTAATCCACACTGCCAAAGTATTAAGGAATCAAAAAATACAACCTTACTACATGATTTGTAAGTCTATATTCATGATTTTGAAATTTGATTTCTTATAAATACTTGAAGTTTGATTTCAAAAGACTTGTGACGATGAAATTCCCTTGCTTCTTAATGCTGCCTCGCAAAAAAATCAAAAGGCCTAACAAAAAAATCTTAATGATTTCACAGCCAGATTTGCTTCTTCTGCCTGCTGGTAAATGTGAAATAACTTGAAACTGTAGCATGAAGCTTGATCTTCTCCTTAATAATTCCTTAAATTTGGAGTAAGTTTTAGCATCAGATTCAGTTCCTATGAAAGTGAGTGAGGGCTGTGTTTTTAATTAAGAACACTGTAAGTAGTAATAGAAAAAAAACAAATGTTTTTTTATCATGTTAGGAGCTTTTTTTTTTTTTTTTTTTTTTCATCTAAGGGCCTGGATTTTGTTGTTTGCTTATTTATTCTGTAAATTCAGTATTATAGTGACATATGTCTGTTTAGCTATAGCAAGGTCATAAGTGATGGTGTGGTGAACTTGGGAAAACAGGCCAGTTTTTCCTTTCAAAGGAGCCACGTTCCATTACAGTGAGAGAGAATGTGATTCTCAACAATCTCTTCCACATGAATTCTGGACTAATAAGGGTAATAGGTTTATAATAATGTGGGTTTCTCTGTAGAAGGAGGACACAGCATCAGGTATAGTAAATACACATTTTTAATAAAGATTTAACTTGTCTTTCAAACGCAGTGTATAGTAATGTATTTTGGGGTCTTAAGTTAGTATCTACCAGAATTTTCATATTTCTCTTTAGTTTTCTAAAAAGTCCACAACAAGGTTCTGACATTCTGCCTGACATTTCACTCTTCTGTCTACCTTTTATCCATCTCTTAGAGAGTATATTCTTCCACTTACATTCCAGAATTTGCTGGGTTTGTGTTTGAAGAGTTTTCTCAGATGAGAGTACATCTACATACCCCACATCCATTTCTATATGGAAAGACAAATGAGCAGCATAGTGTTATCATCATTTAACAACAAATCAAGTCAGTACTGTGCTGCCATCGCAGCTGTAAAACCTCTGAAAATACATATTGCAAAACAAAGCCCAGTATAGGCGATATCCAGAGGATAAACCACCCTCCTGCTGCTAGTGCTGTACCGCTGCTGTAATGACGGGCTGCATCCAGCCCCACTGTGTTGCGTGAGCCCCTTTGGAAGGAGACGTGGGTGCAGAGGCAGGGAGAGAGACAGGGGCACAGGCGCTGGGCAGGCAGTGCCAGTGCACCTGTGGCACGGGCTGTGCTGCTGGGGAGCAGCCCCTGGAGGGGAGGATGAGGCACTGGGCAGCCTGTGCCTGGCCAGTACTGCGGGTCCCACCAGCCAGCGCGGCAGCCCTGCTCACTTCTGCTGAAGTCATGCGGAACAGGGGCTCTGCAATCATTCCAGCAGAAGGAAGAGGGAGGGAAATACGTACTGGAAAATTACATACTTCACCTTCCAGCATCCGCAGAAATTTCTCTGAGATTTGTATGCTCAGACAAGAGAATTTTTTGCAATAAATATTATATTTCAGACTGTGTTACATTTGTTTTAATAAATGTTATATATCAGACTGAAGGTTTGATACTCTCAAGCCTTTTTACACAGATAAATCATTAATTTTTACTTTGATATTTTAAATTTTTTTAAAAATTAAATAAAAAGAGAGCAAGGCTTTTAAATAAAAATTAAATACTGAAATGAATATTTGCCTGTTTAAAAAAAAATAGTTTCACTCACATGCTTCTTATCTGAAATGGACACAAAGTTATTAAATCTAATTTGGTTCTTTTCTTTTGGCACTTCCACAGTGATACATCTGAAAGCATTGAATAAAGAAATTTCAGGGAAAAATTCCTCTCATGTAATTAGTATGATTTCTAAGAGTGTACATTGCTCTGTAAGTAAGTTTCTTACATGCTGTATCAACTCTGGATACAATTTTAAAATAGGAAAAAATCTTCAATTAATTTCTAACATTAATGTTTTTTGCATAATTAATTTTACTAATTATTTACACCTGAATTAACTGTTGCAAATATTTCAAATATTTTCATATTTAATTATATCTAATATTAGAAAACAGATATTTGGGAATGTAGATATCTTATAAGAAAGATTTCTTCAGAGCAGCTTGCTGATTACAACTATAACATCAAATTGATTTTGTGATCTGCTTTATAGATCTTGAGGCAAAAGGGGATTTCTTGGAGCTCCTGCTTGGGAATTTATGAAAGAAAAGTTATCTTCACCGTGAAGACATGAAATAAAGTTGACACACATAAAGCATAAATTAAATATTTCATTTTCAAGAATTACTCTGAGTAATCCAGTTTAATTAAGATGAAATTCACTACAGTCACCTCCAGATCAATTAGTCTTCCCGTTAAGAGCCAAAGCAAGACGTGAGTCATGCGGAGCCATTAGATGGGCCCTTTTCCAAGAAGAATTATGTCCTTGGAGTGGCCACTTCTAATGAGCTCTGGTATTCAAAAAGCTCAAGACTGTTGTTTTAGACTTTCCTTTTTGAGATACTTGCAAGAGAGTGTTTCTCATGCCTTCTCCCCACCCAGTCTGGTGCTTTCCATAAGGTTAGTGAGGGCTCTACGGGCTCTGGTGACCCACAGATCCAAGGCTCTTGTTCTCAGCAATGTTTTGTAAGATTAAGGACCTCTTTGGGCCCGCAGTCTCTACTCTAGTTTGTGGGAGCCTCAGGAGCTGTAATGTAATGACACTGGGCAAGTCACCACAGTGGAGACCTCTGCTCTCTGGGCTTTTCCTGAGCTCTTCAGAATTGCAACCCTTCATCTTGTAATACGGTCTGTGTGCAGGTTAAAATTTTTTCCAGTAGGTTTCCACTTAGTAAAAGCCAACGAATGCACTACTTGATGTAGCGACAAAATTTCCATTGAAAATTTAGGGAATCATGTATAATGTATATTAATGAGCTTTGATAAAAATCCAACCTTTATTTATGAATTTTTCATTTGTTATTAGAATTGGATTTTGAATAACTGTGTAAATGTGTGCTTCGACTCCAGATAACATCTGTATAGAACTGAAGGTTGTGCAGTAGTTTGTTGTGTAGATAATCCTGGTGGTACTTACATGCTTTTGCTGACACAGGAAAGTATATAACTCCCAATTCCTATTCCTTTGTGCAGACTTCAGTTGGTGTTTGTCAAAAAAAACCCCAGCATGCTGGGGCATAGCTCTCAAATGCTGTCTTCCTTCCTGGCAGCTCGTGCTGTCAGCAATGCTTTGTGAGGATCTAACTATGCCACTTCTTTATAACTCATCTTTGAGATTTTTGTCCTAGAAAGCACTAAGTGTATATTAAATGTCTGATTTAGGGGATGCTTTTTTCTAATATTGTACTGATAAAAGTAGAAATATGAAAACTAATTTAATCAAAAGAAACAGGCTTTACTTTTTATTACATGTCGGTACAGAAATGACCAGAGTTTATGTTGTGCGCATAATTCTGTGATTATAAATCACATTCTTTCAAAGAGATTTTTTAATATTTCCATTGAAAAAATGTAGGAAATAGTTACTTCTCTGTATTTGTTCTATTGTTTCTTCACCTGTCATTAAAATGGACTAGGAAAAGACCTCTACAGAACTCTAACTAATTTTCTAATTATTTTATTTTAAAATGTATACTGTAGAATAATCAATATGTAGTTTCAGAAAAAATAAACAAGTTTGTTCATCAACCTTTTGGAGGGTGTGGCTGTTCACCTTGGATGGGGAATGTTATTATATTTCTGTAATCTGTCAAATCAAAAGCTCAGCAGCAGGATTAACAGAACTTCTGTAAGCGTGTGTCTCTAATACTTTTGACAAATAAATTTATAAATTTTACATGACCATCTAAATTTAAATATTATTTATAAAATTCCTGGATTCTGGTTAATTACTGTTTTTGTTAATAAAGAGGTTCTTTATATATATATATATATATGTATATATATATGTATATAATGTATGTATGTTAATGCCTCTCCCTTGAGAAAACAGCAAGAAACTGTAGTTTCCTGCTGGTGGAATTTGAGAGCATGTACCCTACAGTATACTCTAGCACAATCACTACAGTTTGTTTTTCTGACTTAGTCTGATTAAAGCTCAACTCAAGAGTAGTAACCACAGAAAAGTATGGATAGAATTCCTCTGTACTAAAAACACGTTTCAGAGAAGTCTGTTGAATACCTAGTACATGGTATGGGTCGATTATGGGAAAGCATTCAGACTAATGTCAATATTTGATTTGTATCATTGAGAAGCCAGGGAATATCATTATCTTATCCACCCCTTCCTCCCCTCCACTCCCCTTCCCACCCTGTTCCAGAGCCTCCTAGGCCTCAGGAGTCAGAGGTAAGATAATTTTTTTATCTATCTATCTAAAGAAAGGTCAATTCTGTATTTGATAATTTATAGATGTTTGTTACTAAAGGACAATTTGTGAAGATTTTGTGCAGCATTGCTTAGTCAAAATTTGTTTGCATGCTATAACCTACAGATAATACTGTATGATCTTATTAGTTTGATAAACTTCATCTAGTGTATGTTGCATATAGCACATCTTAATTTGTTTTGAAAGGTATATATGGATAGACCAAAGAGAATACAAATTAAGTCACAGATCTCCACCTGACTTAGCAAGAAAGAGAAATACAGAGATGGACTCTTCATCCTAGTGTATTGAACAAACTACATTTGGGAATTGTGGAGGAAATGCAGACATGGAGCTGTGTGTGATGGTGTTGTTAGAATTTCTCTCCAGGCTAAGAGACTGGCATTTTCACCTAGTGCAAATCAGAATATGTGCTAGCACTTGTGTGCAGACAGAGTGCTAGAACATGGTTTAGGAGAAAGCCTTAGAAAGACTCAGAATGGATATGGGCCTTTTGGTGGACCAAAGGTGCAATAATATGCATTAGTGCTCTGGAAGGGGTGTTAGATTTCCTCACTGAAGACCTATGCCAGTTCCTAGCAGAGAGGTGGATGTTTCTTTCAGCCTTCTTTGAAGCCTTTCTTGCTGACCACCATCAGAAGTATAACATAGGATTTGGCTGAAAAGAGAGAAAGAAGGCAAGAGACTACCTCTAAATTTGGAGAGATGGATTTTCAGCTGGGTTGTAGGAAATTAATTTCTTCAACCTATTTCAACTGGGTTTTTATTTTTGAAAATTGGGAATGCCTCAAAAGCCTCTAGAGTAGTTCTTCACAGAGTGTGCAGTACCTGTTTATTAGGGACTTTTTCTGGGATGTAATACAACTGGTTTACATTAAATCAAATAGCTGAGAGTTTGAAAAAGGCTGTAAGCACTGGGAAGGGTGGTTCTCTTTGGTCTGCCTTGCTGGAAGCATGCAGCCTGCTGAATACTGAGTATGATGGCATTGCTGTTGCTATAGTACCTAAGTCCAAGCCTGGGTGCACAAACAAGGAATTTTCTAGATGAAAATTATAGAACAGATTATTTTCCAATAATATCTTCAGAGCTTTCAGATTTAATGTAGAGAAATAGTTGATCCCCAGACTTACTGTTTTTCTCACTTCTGTATTTTTGCATTAAACTGCATTTCTCATTGAAAACGTTCTTGTAAACTTGGCTTTCCCCAAGCCAACATGTGCTTCCTCCAAAAGTGCAAATCCAATGGTATTGAAATAGAGCCAGACAAAACTAGTGGCTGAATGAATGTGTCCTGCCTAGATGAGTGAGCATTGCTACCCTTAGTCCTTGATGCAGGGGGTTGGCCACTTCTCCAAACACAATCCTACAAAAAATCTTCTACATTGTCTCAATAACCATATTAATTAGGCAGTGGAGTCCTTGCAGAATTCAGAATTCTGTCTATTTAAAATTGTGGATGATACAGTGTGTATTTTTGTTTTATAGAGGCTGACCTCATTCCTGAACTGAGTGAAGCTGAAGAATATGAGGTATAGCATTAATTTGTTTTTTAAGAGAGTATTTGAAAGAAATATATTCCAATTAAATTGAAATTATATTCTGTGAAAATTTACAAGACTGTGTCACCAGCTGAGTGTATTATCTGCATTTATGTATACATATGCCTAAGTATGTGCATATATAGCCTTTGAGATATATTTCTCCCTAGAGAACTCTGGAGATACCTCAGTATTTCGTTGGGGTTGGAGGTACATGGTGAAGTAAAGGATATCACAGAATATTCCTAACTATTTTTAAAACAGAGCATCAGTTTACAATCACCCCTCTGTGAAGTCTGACAGAATTGTTCATTTAGCAGAATTAAAGCTGCCATCTAGTGTTAGGCTTTTTGGTTAAAGAGAAGTTTGATTTGTCCTTGCTTGTGATGGTCTTATGATGTAGTAAATTAAAGTAAGGGAGGACGATAGTTGTGTTGAAGAGTGGCATTCAAGTGTGTCAGCTATCAGTGTGCTGTTGGTTTAACTGTTATTCAAAAATTCTTGGAGGTTCATTTGCTTCTTGAACTCAAGTGAGACTTTAAAGTACAGCTCTGTTTTACAAAATTTTTGATGATCTCATGATAACCTTTGGAGGCATCATATTCAGTAACTAGGTCTCTGGTGTCGCAGCAAGGAGAGATGTAAAAATACCATTAATTCGTTTTTAACAGTCTCTCATACCAATTGTGCAACATAGACAGTTACTTCAGTAAGACATTTATCAAGTAATGTCAAGTAATTCCTCAGAATTTTTAATTTATAGTTTCAGACTATGACCACAATATTCTCACTGCATGACAAGTTCTTTTAGTTAAATAGCACAGCCTGTGCTTATCTATCTATTTACCTTCCCTTGCATTTGTGAACATTGAGTAACCAGTAACACAGTCTGTTGTTGTAAGCTATATATCTAGATTATTGTATTGCATCTGTTAGGTGCCAGTGAACATCAACTGATTTTTACTTGAACCAAGAAAGTTTAAAAGTGCATACATAGCCTTGCATAAATAGAAACAAGGGCCTCTCCAGTCTAGCCCAGGTTTTAAGGAAATCAGTCTTGGTGCTTCTGTCCCTACATTTTAGGTATTTAGTCCTTAGAATGAAATCCAAACCTGAGAGTGACATCTGAGGTACTTTATGTTGTGTGAGTTCATGAGGGGTTCCTGTTTCAAAGAGGGACTGCAGAGTGAAGCCCAGCTCTAGCCTAGTGGGAAAAGCCCTTGTTCTGGTGAGACTGAGTAAAAGCTCGCAACTCCTGTTTGCTGAGTGCCTCAGTCAAAAACATACTCAGCAGCTCTTTATCTTGGGCACGTTCTTTCAAAGGCTGTTGGTTTTTTACATTACTCTCCCTGCTGTGCCCTGTTCAATGCAGGAATGGGAGATCTACTCAAACTAAACTGTAGTGGAAACTGAGGAGTTGTTACATTGATAACTGTGCCTATCTCCTGTCTACTGGGTGTTTTCTCTCAGCATTATGCTTTTGAATAACAAACAGTGGCATTTCAACCACATCACCAAGCCAGATCTTTAAAAAAAAAAAAAAAACCTAAAAAAACAAAACTATTTTGGAAGAGGCTCTGCGCTGGCTCTGTCTCTTAGGGCTATGTGTGCCTGTCAAATCAGGTCCCTTCAGAAACTGAAAGGTTACCTCAATCTAGATGGCAGAGTTGGGCTGGGACAGGTTCGATTCTGGTGCAGCACTAGATGGGACACAACACAGAACTGCAGGGACTGCTGTACCTAAACAAAAACAAAAATGCTTCCTGAGCAAGTTAGGTGCTTCGATTATATGTTTTTTTTATTTTGTGCAGGGAAAGCTTTAGAGGGGATTAAAAGATTTGACCTTAGATCCTCAAGCACTGCCTAAATCCTGATTGCATTAGGCACATAATTTTTTTTCCTCTTTTGGATGTGTCCTTAAAAGGCAAAACTCTAACACAGATTTTGCACGAATTATTGTTATTCATTGTCACTCATATTCAGAAAACAAAGGGTCATAACAGGACTAGGGTATATGACTCACAGCACTTGTGAAATTCTGACAATCTTGCTGAGGATCATGAACTCTTCTTTTCCAGAAAACACTGACAATTCAGCAGAATTGAGGTCATAAATATATTTTACAAATTCTGTTGTTATTATTTCAGTTTAATTACCATCAGGATATTAGTGCAAACCTCTAAGGCATTCTGATAACAAAACCATTTTTTCACTGCAGTGTATACAATCTGTGCTATATATTGCATATAGAATTGCATTTTATTAGGAAAGGGTTAGAGCCTCCTTAATAAAGTAAATAAATACTGTGAGCAATTTTTGCCTCTCAAACACAGTTTAGCGCAATATTGAAGAAGTTGTTGCGACACAGCATTTTTCTGTTTTTATTGCAAGTAAGTGATAGTTTTCCAGACAAAAGATAAAATACCTGTTCTTGCAGTTAATACTTTAGTTTAAGACCAACAGTATTCTCAAGTGTTGTTTTGCTTTACCCTTCTTGATTTACTGATCCAGGAAAATATGTTATTGCAGTTTTAGTTTTCATTCATGTTCAGAGTCTATAAGCATTTTTAATTGTCTTTGGCTATGATGTCTTTTTCAAAGGATGAAGTTGATGAAAAGGAAACAGAGGTGGATGAAGAAACTGTAGTGGTTCCTAGCACTGACAGTACAATGAACCAATTGAGGAGAGATTTTCAGGTGATTACATCCAGCTACAGTCAAGGAAAAAAGGGAACAAAACCCAGTGAAGCCAAAACAAATAGATACCTAACAAGAGAAGAATTGCATGGTAAGGATAATATTTTCAAAGCAGTTTATTATGCTACTTCTCCACCTATTGGTGAAAATTCTGAAGAGGAAGATCCTTTTTTGGAATCCCAAACAATTACTGGAATTCCTCCTCACATCATTGACTCCACCAAAGGCAGAGAAGACGAGTTTATATATCTTTCTTCAGGCACCGAGCCAACAAGAATAACCACCACTGGCCTCAGTGACGAAGATTTCTTGTTGTCTTCTTTTAAACCTCATCAGGAATCTGATGACTTTTGGAGTTCAGTTCCTACCACTTCTTCATCACAGCTGGTTACAGAGGAGGCCTCCCAAGAAGATGCCCTTCCTTCAGGAAGTCCAGATATAAGTGCGCATGATGTTCTTTCCCAAGGCTCCATTAAATATATTTCAGAAGTCATAGCACCCTCAAGCTCCGATGAGCCTCCAAAGCATACTTCTTCCACTGATGGAAATTTATGGTTTCATAATGCTACAGATCCAACAACTCAATCTGTTGATACATCACCCAGCGGGCAGTTGTCTCAGCCCAGTTACACAGATGCTTATGTAGAGGGATTAAAGCCGACTACAGAGCCCTATACAAGCAGCCCTGTGGTTTTACAAGACACTTCAGATGTGGATTTAGAATTGCCACATTATTCTACCTTTGCTTTCTCCTCTGCTGAATTATCACCTCACTCTATCTCTTCAAGCTCTGGAGAATATGGTTCTGCTTCTGCTGCCAGTGAGGTACTCTCTCAGACAACTCAGCCAGTCTATAATGGTGAGATACCTCTTCAACCTTCCTACAGTAGTGAAGTGTTTCCTCTAGTCACCCCCTTATTGTTTGACTCTCAGATGCTCGACACTACCCCTGCTACATCAGATAGTGATGTGACCTTGCATGCTACACCTGTATTTCCCAGTGTTGATGTGTCATTTGAACCCACCCTGTCTTCCTATGATGATGTACCTTTGCTTACATTTTCCTCTGCTTCCTCCAGTAGTAAAATGTTTCACCGTTTGTATACAGTTTCTCAAATGTTTCCACAAAGTGCTACTCCAGCTGTTGCAAGCGATAAGGTGTCCCTGCATGCTTCTTTGACGTTGGCAGTGGGTGATCCATTAATACAGACAAGCCTTGCTCAATTTGCTGATGTGGTGTCACATCAGACCACTCATGCTGCTTCGGAGACACTGATGTTTGGTCATAATAGAACTCACATATTTCCTCAAGTTGAACCATCCAGCAGTGATTTAAATATGCATGTACTATCTACAATGTCTGAACTTCCTTATGCTTTGTCTGGTAATGTGGGCTCCCTCCAAAGCTTTACTGTTTCCTATGACTCTGCAGAATTTGTGCATGGTTCTGTTGACGTATTTCATCAAGATCCTTTATTTAGCAGCTATAACAATGTACTGGTGCATAAACCTTCTTCTGTAATATCACAAGCTGATATTTTGCTGCAGCCTACGCGCTCTCTATCTAGTGACACGGATTGGTCTGAAGCATACTCTGGTAGTGAGTCCCTTTTGCCTGATACAGATACTTTGACCGTACTTAACGTTTCTTCCTCTGATTTTGTTGCTGAGATTCCATATGAATCATCCGGGTTTAGTGATGTTAATAAGATACTTCAAAAAGGCGATGTTATATATGGAGAGGAGAGAGAACTGAAAATTTCCTCTTCTTTAAGTGAAATGGCTTCCAGTGCTGAAAGTAAAGTAATACATGAACTTTCTACATCTGTTTCTAATAATGTTGTAATTGAGCAGAATATGTCTCTGCAAGAAAGCCCACTTCCTGTTTCTAGCACAAAGGGAATCCTTCCAGTCTCTCTTGCTTTTCCCACTACTAAGATATTTGATAATGGTATTAGTAAACTTACAGAAAAGCACCTTTCTGTTCAGCCTTTGCATGTTACAACTCCAGCCTTTGATGACACTTTGCTTAAACCTGTGCTTAGTGCAAGCTCAGATCAAGCTCTCTCTGTCCCTGCTTATAGCAAAATGTTATCCTCGACTCAGCTGTACTTTTATGAGACTTCAGCTACATTAAATAATGAAGCATTACTGCAGTCCTCCTTCCAGTCTTCAGGCGATGGCACTCTGCTTAACACCGCTGCAGTTGTGCCTAGTGATCCCGTATTGGCTGAAAGCTCAAGGGTTCAAAAAGATAGTTCTGCATTTGACCAACTAGTGCATCAAAAGGCACCAGGTTCTGCTACAACTGAAAGCAAACTGCATTCTACATCTGCACCTTCTGTTGCTGATACAATGTCAAACACTTTTAGTAAGCCCACAGCGTCACTTCAAGGTTTATCTTTTTCTTATGCAAATGAGAGATATGTTTCATCCAGTTTATTTAACAGTGAAGATGTTCAGAAGGTTGTGCCTTCATTGTACAGTAGCGATGTTTCATTCCAGCTGACCAGTTTAGAAAACACAAATGCCTTTCCGTCCCAGGCAGCGAATGCTGCAACAACTCCCTTCCTAACAGGTGACACATCATCACATGTAGCTACTCCTACAGACAGCCAGTCTTCAAGTGTTTTTGAAAGAATTGATGCTGACAGTGTCTCTTCAAGTTCCACACTTGGTTTTGATCCTGTTCATATGCCTGCAGTTGTTTCTGGTTCTGATGTGTCCGTTCATCACACTCTTCCTTTACCAAATACACTTGTTTCAGTTACGGCTGTCCCTTCCAAAAGCAAGATCCCTGTAACTTTGAATAGGTTGCTGATTCCTTCTGGAGAATCCTCTGGGTTGTCTCCCAGTATCATGTCCAGTACTGATTTGTGGTCTTCTGTAGTTGAGGATGACTACGATGAATATGATGATGCCTTCCCTGTAAGTAACTGTATCTCGTGCACTTCCCATAGAGAAGATCAGGATATGGTAGTAGAGGATGAAAATACGAAGGTAAATAATAACAAGGATCAGAGTAACCTAATTATAAGTTCACATTCTGAGAAATCTGAAGAAGAGAAGTTTTCTACTGCTGCATCTGACAGTCAGATAAACCGTGCCATGGACAGACATAATTATACATCCATACCAACTTTGACAGCGAATGTGATACCTGAGAAGCGCAACAACCTGAAAATTTTGGAGAACCACATTCAGACTTCTAGTGTCCAATTGCAAAACACATCAGAATCTAAGTCTTGGGCTGTTTTGACAAGTGATGAAGAAAGTGGTTCTGGCCAAGGTACCTCAGATAGCCTTAACGATAACGAAACTTCAACAGATTTCATTTTTCCTGACCATAATGAGAGAGACACTGAAGGGGCAGTTGAAGCAGGTAACTCAGAATTAACTCCTGGATCATCACAATCATCAGCCTCATCTGTTACTAGTGATCATTCATCAGTGTTCAACATCTCTGAGGCAGGTTAGTTATGGATAAGTCTAATGAATACCGTGGGAAGCTGTGAGGGGATACGTTTGTGCCATAGAGAATGAGAAGGTTTATCTACAGATAATAAAGGGAGAACATAACAGTGCCAGTGGGTGTGATTAGGGAAGCATTGGGGAACAGGGGTTCATACTGAGCTGGCTATCTTGTGAATGCTACTTCTGGCTACTTAAAACTGCACCTGAAATATTCTTCAGTAAGATGACTGATGCTCTGCTTTTGGATAGATGCATACTGTCAGCAGAAGTTGAGTCGTGCAAAATCTGAAACCAGACTTGTTTCAGTGCTAATTGTTGCTTTTAGTTTTAAAGGTTTGTGAGGGACTTAGGTTCTCTGTTGAATTCTTTGTACAAGGACAAGTGCTGCCCTTATGGAAATGCCACCAGAGGAAACCATGCCTCTGCCAGAGGAAACATGCCTCTGATATTCTCTTTTAAACTTACAGCAGCACCTTTTTTTGTGTTTTCTAAGAGATTGAACAAGGAAGAAGATGCTGGTTTTATTCTGATTCATAAAAACATTCATTTTTATTCTGTGTATGCCATTTTCAGATTTCAGTGAGGTGCAGAACTTTTGTGCCAGATTTGCGTATTCCCAAAGAAGAGCTAGATTCTCCTCTAGATGTTCATATTCAATGCTATTTTCTTATTTATTCCTCTTAAATTCAGTGAGAGTATTTGCAACCCATGATTCCTAGGATAAAGTCAGAAGTCAAAACTCATAACACATTTCCTTTGTATTTAAAAATGCACTGTGGAAAATCTGAAGTATTCAGACACATAATTTTCATTCCTTCTTGTGCTAGAGAATTGAAAATCAAAGAATCAAGTCAAAAATAATCTATGACATTTGAAAAAAAAAAAACAAACAAACAACAAACAAGGTTGAATTGGTATTTTAGAAAATAAATTGAACTTCTGTTATGTACTTGCATCATCTGTAGAGGGCAGTATCATTCAACTAAACCCATTAAGGAATGACATTCACAAAGCATGGGAAGGTTTCGACCCAGTCCTACAAATAAATACACAGTTTAATTACATAAGGTTGTATTTCTCATGAGCAACAGGATACTGATATGAAAAGGTGGTAAATTGACACTCGATATAGTTTGGGCTAGAACAATATGAAAAATAGAAAATGAAAATTAAAAGGGAATAAAAAACTTTGAAATTACTAAGAGTCCTAACAAGGTAGGTGTTACAAAATTGAATTAATACGTGAATTAGTTCACTGGTAAGTAGTTGCCACGTGCTGTAAAATGCATAACATTCCTTCAAAAATAAGCAAAAATGGCATTAATGTTTCAAAACCTATGTTATTGGTATGAACGAGTGTTGCCATAACCTTCTAGAGTTTACATAAAGAGTGTCATTTGAATTTTTACCAATAGTATCTCAAAAAGGACTATACAGTACTGGAGGAGGAGTACAATAGACTTAGTTTGTCTTCTAGATATTATTGAAAGACACTCTGCAGTATCATTTCACGCTCATTACTTTTTTTTCAACACACAATGCCAAATACTGGATTTTAATAAGCTAAACATTCAATTTCAGCATGTCTGACATGGTCTCCTGTAAATCAAAGACATATTTACTTTTAAATTACAAAGAAATGCAGCAAACACAAAAATTAATCTCTCACCTGAGAACTTACTTATACATTGCAGTGGATTTTGCAAAAATTGGTGAAATGTCTTTTCATTGTGACCATTACAGAAAAAAGTCATTTAAACTTTTCCCAGTCTTGTAGCTGTTGATGCATAACTATGCTTGTTCTGAACTAATATTTTCTCCATAAGACCTCTATGACTACCCAAACTTTTCAACTTCTGTTGAAAAACTAAGACAAATTAATAGAAAGAAATATGCAAAGGATCCAAGCACATCAATTATTAGAAACCAAAGAAATCTGCTATAGCTGAGACTGCCTTTTCAGCTGCCACCACTGGAGTGAATGAAGTAGGCAAGAAACCCTCTGTTACAGGAGAAGCCTGCACTTCATTCCCCATAGGAGGAGTCCTAATAGAACGTGGTCATGAAGTTTCAAGGAACCCTGTCATCACACAGATAGGATTGGATTTTATGCTGTGAATTAGTCCAGAGTTGGATAAGCAATTCTGACTGTTTCAAAGGGATCGTATTGTGCTTTCTCATGCATACACATAGTTTTCCTCTGGAATCAATAGGAAGTACCAGTTTTAACCTACTCAACAGACACTGGGAGATTTTTCAGAAGCAACTTTGTGCCTTCAATTACTTTGCCCATTGAGCTGCAGAATTTAAAGAGAAGTGATTTACATGGGTGTTAAAGACTATTTTGAATTTAAACCAAGAAGACATCTGCAAAATTAGAGCCTAGATCTTTTTGCACATAAAGTCCTGAAAACCTCTAAACTCAAGAAAATGGAAGAAAATAGAGCTGCCTGGATATCTGTACTGTGTGAAGCCATTTGGTTTTTGACATCCTATTTAGAGCATGTAATTTGCTGTCTTTTTTTTTTCCCCAGATTCAACTCCATTCCTTCCTCCCTTTGTGTAAAAGCTTTTCATTCATGTAGAATTTGTCTCTTGAAATCCCAATGGAGTGCAGATGTTTTCTGTACAGCAAAATTCTGCTCTTATACAGAAAATTCATTAAATTAGGACTGTTCGCAAAAGCAGAAAACATTCTAGGGGTTTAATTCTAAAAAGCACAAAAGTGCTTATTTCTGCATCTTAAATAATGCTCACAGTAAACTGCACAAATCAAAATAAGTCAGTTATTTTACATCGAAGTCACAACTTTAAAATACTTACTTCCTGAGATATGACCAAAGCTAAAAATAAAGTATTGGTGTTGTCCACCGTGGGTTTTCCTTCTTTAATAAAATTATAAAATATTTTGTTTTAATCTTCATACAGATTCCCATGTCCAAATATTTCTGTCATCCAATAGTATATGGCTCACAGAAATACGAAACCAAAGCAATATCTAAATAATAATTTGAGCACCTGTAAAGACAGAGGTGGGAAATTTAATTGTGGCTCCAGTATAGTTGAGAGAGGCAATTGGATTCAAAGGAAGCAGGGTGTATCTATAAGGCAGTTTACATAATGGGCAATGGATAAAAGTACAGAAAGCTAAACTAAAATACAGCAAGCACATAAAGACTTTTACAAGATAATTTTTATATTAACCTATTAGCCAGAGAAGTGATTTGCATTACATGACTGACAGTTTAATATCAATTCCAATGCACATTTCAATATTCTGTATTCAGACTTCTTAACTCATTTGGCTTTCAGCTAATAAAACAGATTAAAATAAAAAAAACCTTTCTTCTGAATTTTAACAACAGTCTGCTATTCTTACAAAGAGGAGTTTCCACTGCTATTCTTACAAAGAGGAGTCTCCACTGCTGGAGGGCTGAGTCACATAAGCTTGAACACTTTGCTTTACCTTCTATCTGCTTATCTTCTGTAAGCTGGTTTGCAAATGTATAAACTTTCTGAGGTACATAGTAAAAAATAGAGGTAAGTGATATTAAGTAGGCTCATTTTAAGACACATTCACCTGTGCTGTGCATTTCTCAGAATTTAAACTTGGACTGTTTCAATTTTCTCTGACTGCAGAGGCAAGTAATATTAGCCATGAGTCTCGTATTGGTCTAGCTGAGAGTCTGGAATCAGAGAAGAAGACAGTTATACCACTTGTGGTCGTATCAGCCCTGACTTTTATCTGTCTAGTGATTCTTGTGGGTATTCTCATTTATTGGAGGTAAGTTGTATTTTGGTTGATCTTTTTTTCCGTTCTAAAGAGGTATGATTTGAAAAATGTCATGGGCATTATTGAGCTGGTTTACAGGAGGGAGACTGGATCTTATCTTTTACCTTGCCTTCATATTGCTCAGTGTCATAAAGATGACAAAATAAAGTGGTTTCTGTCCAAAATACTCAGATGCAATTTTTTTTTTGTTTTTGCAGAGGGTTTAACCACTACAAACAGTTTATTCCCATATTGATAGGTCTTAGTAAACAATAACTCATGATTGATGCTTAGAAACCAAGTGACTAAACATAGACATTATGGCATGGGGCTATTTACTATCTTTCCAATCCTTTACCCATTAAAAAAGGTAGTTATCAATTTAGAATGAGAATCTATTGTCCTCAACAGGACCATGTAAATAAGTAATTCATATGGCACTGTAGGAGTCTGTTGACACTGTGTGGAAGACAGAAAGGGAGTAGTTTAATGATACTGTAATAGTGTCACTGTTTGAAGATCACTTACTGAATAGCTGTGAGGATGCTCTGTGATTAAAAAGTCATTCTAGTTTGTGATTCTGACAAACTAAAATTAGCCCTGGTCTTTCAAAGCTTTAGTGAATAACTATGGATGTGTTTCATGTGCACATGTGCTCAGGTTTCCTCATGGATGTGTTTCTCTGTGACTTGACAAATTAATAAGCCAGTTAAAAAAAAAAAAAGTAGGATAAAGGGAATTGATGGGTATTAGAACTCATTATAACATCAGTAAGAGAAATCAGTAAGAGAAAAAACTGTTTCTGCACTGTGAAGTAAAACAGACCAACTAGCATGGCACAGATCTCTTCCGTACAGCTGAAATTACTTCCCTCAGAGAGGATAAAAAGAGTGTCTGCATTCACATTGCTAACTGGGGATGGCCTCTGCCCTGTGCTAACCCCGAACTGTGTCAAGCATTTTGTGAAATACTGCAAGTTGGCCTGAACTAGAAATGTACCAGGATCCTTGTTAGCCACATGGCAGTATGTGGCAATACTCAAGGCTTTGGCACTCTCCCACGGGTTCTAGTTAAAGTCAGTCTTCCTAGGGACATGCCTGCTTAAGTTCACAAAATCCTTGCACAGCCCTAAGACTTTCTCAAGTGTTTAGATTGTCAGGGAGGAAATGCTGTGATGGACTGGAAGGGGAAAATAAGTTGCAAATAGTTCTACTTCGGTGATTGTCAGGAACCTGATCCTGCTTCCACTGTGCTAACACATAAACTAGCAGCCAAAAACAGGACCTTGCTCTTACAAGGACTGTACAAAGAATTGGGAAGACAGGCCCAAACATCTTCTTTCAGATGCCTCCAGAGCTTGTTTCTTCTTCCTTCATCCCAAATAATCCTGCTTAATCTAAAACAAAAAAAATAAATTGGTGGAGAACCATTAACTTTGGCCCTTTCCAAACTACTGACTACTGTAATCTCTAGGCTGTGATGTCAGGATCATGCTTACTGACTTTTCTTCTAGTCTCCTGACGCTGGTTTTCTGTCGGCCTATCAGGGTGTGTCCCTCAAGGGGGCAGAACTCATTCCATCCCTGAACAGACTAGGCTGGAGAAATTGAGTTCAAGCATCCTTTGTTCCAGACAAGTGTGCTAGTGAGACAGACAGTCTTTGCCATAATTAAAGACACTTGATTGATGAACCTTGAGAAAGATTTCTTCTCCTTTTCAAAGTAGTAGTTAATTGCCATAATAATTGCAAAAGTCATTTCTTGGTTTATGCTTAGTTGGATAATTCTATTCTCCATCCCAGGATTTCCAGCTAGCCACCTGCATTCTGAGAATCCTTTTCTGTCATTCATGTTATGCAACATGATTGTTCATATTCAACTTCCAAAGGGTTTCATCCCTGATGCTGAACAGTATTTGAAATCTCTTCTATTTGCTAAAGAAGGTCATGCATTTAAAGACCCAGATTGTACAATGCAGTTCTAGTAATCCTACACGTTACAAGCTTGTTTTTGTCGAATAACATTGTGTTCATTTTGTATTCTTTCTCTGGGAATGAACAATTCTGTAAAACAGGTCTTTCAAAATGAAGCAAAAATCCCGTTAGCAAGAATATCTTCTTGCCTTGAATCTAATCTTTTCTGTATTTCTTGTGTACTACAAAATAAAATATGGAGCTCTTTTATTGTTAATCCTCAAAATTCTCTTGGCATTATGATAACACCAGTAACTATTTCTTATTTCAGGGGCATGCAACATAAAGACTATGCATCATAGATAGGAATTTACAGCCCTCTTTCAAAGCTGCCAAAACACTCACCTCTTATTAAAGACTGGAAAAAAAATCAGAATATTAACTTCATTGCTATGCAGATTTCATTAAGCCTGGAAAATATTAGCAGAAACCCTGTAAGATTTTTCTAATAGATTTATTTTTTTTTTTAAATAATTGCTCTTGGATGTTAATGTTTCTTTTTATATTGCACCTTTTTTTTTCCCTAATATGGGCCAATTATTTTCACTTATTAAAGTTCATAAAAACATTTAGGTTTACAAGAAGTTATTCTATATTTCTTTTGCAATGGTAGTCCAGAAAAACCATTGCTCTATCTCAGCTGGTCACATGAATAAATAATGCTTTGGGTTGTTTCCACTATTAGCTCCTTATTTGAATATTCAAAAGGTGTGTTATTTGGTTTAAAATGAAATAGCTACCAAGAGCAACAAGTTCCAGTCTCTCAAGGTTTAAGAAAGGCAAAATTATTTATTTCTTTACTTTAATGACTTGTATCAGAAAAATAATTCTGTACCATCTGTTGTTTGGGTTTTGGTTTTGGTTTTTTTTTTAAATGAAATTGTTAATCAGCACTTGAGGAAATTCCTCAATCTCTTCACTATCTCATTAGGCACAATTTAAATCTTTCTTTGATAGATATTTATTTCTCTGACAGGGATTAAAACTTCTAATGGCAATATAGTCTAAAGATTGAATAATTACCAGTAGGAAAATACACAATTTTTAACTACTCTGGTTTTGTGTATCTTTTTTAATTCAAGCAATTTTCAAGCAATGTCATTTTCCTTTCATTTCTTCAGCATGATTAAGATTACGGTGGAATAAACAAGGAGATTCTTTGCCCTGTTTAGTGGCCTTGCTGTCCAGATAGACTTTTTAAAATATCTTTAGAGAGAATTTTTCTGTCCAAATCTAGAGTCTATCCATTTATTTCAATATCTGTCTACTTTCTGAGTCCTAGCAGCAGAGATGTGGCAGGAATACCTGAATGTACTTGCTCTCTTCTTGATGGCTTCATTATTACTATTTTGCTTAATTATTCATATTTGTGCAGATCAGCTTTTATATTGTTTATTGTAAGAAGAGGTTGGAGAATAGTAACACGATAACAGTTATCATTGGGCCTTATACCATTCAAAATTCTTTTTCAACAAACATAAGTGAATTGTAGTAAAAGACCATCTCTGATGATATGAACCACAAACTGCTAATGCACTTCCAGGTCCATTTGCATCTGTAGACATACTGAGTATCAGCTGCCTGTCATGCAGCCTGTTAGGCATTTCATGATAGCAACAATCCAGAAATTGCCAACTCGATGACAGACAACACCTTGAGTAGTTACTTGAATTTTAAATTTTGCTCTACCACCCTATATAATTTGAACTACACCTGTCAGAGAATGTTCATTTTCTTAGCCATGATTTGAACAAATGCCAAGTCCTGTGATAAGTTTATGGGAACAAAGTTGAGAACCCTCTCTGAGGATCGTTAAGCTTGGACATGCAGAAGCAATTAAACCATATTTAAATATACAGAGGCCACATTCATCCATTCGTAAAGGAAAAACTTCTCAACAGTGTGCCATGTCATAAATAAAAGTCTTAATAAAATCTGACAATTAAAATTCCACTTGAAAAACACATAAAAATTAATTGCAGCTATTTCAAAACTGAATAATTAGCATCCATTGAGGATCCACTTATAGATCCTTTGGCTTCACCAGATCTTTAAATTGTCTGTACATTTAAAAAAAATCTAGTAAGTGTTTGAGAATACCTACTGGTAGATAATCCTGTGAGATCAAAAGACACTGAAGTTTTCAGAGAAAGAAGTAATCATGCCTCTAAGACCATTGTGCATGAGCGGCAGAAGCACAAACATATCTGTGGATATTCTCAGTTCAGTCGAAGATAGAACAGAGATAATTTCTGCTTGGCTGAGCCTGGGAATCGTAGAGGAAAGAATTAAAGCAATTATTATCTCTCTTTCTGTAACTGTTATTTATAGATATCGTTCTCCCGAGTGTGCTATTCATAGTGCACCAGTAGTGTGAGATGTTTCTCTTTTGAGACCAATCACCTATCACCTTAGCGAGTCACATTATAAAAGACCTGCTACTTTCATTAAACACTTTTACCTTCTGATCCACCTGCAGACTGGAGTCCTCCTTCTATCCCTGACTCAACAGCGTCACACACCCTCTCACAGATGCCTCTGACTCGCAGAGCTCAGCTCCCTTGCCGAGTCCCCGGGCAGGATCACTCTGCACACGGGCACAGTCCCATGGGGTGCCCTGCTCCCTGCCAGCCCCAGCGCCAATGCCAGCCCGGCTCCGAGCAGCCCCTGCTCCAGCGCAGAAGCAAGTGCACATATGGGTCCAGGGGCCCAAATGCTGGAAAATCTCTGTCCCCCACAGTGTGAGGCTTAGTTTTGTAGTCTCACATGGTTGCCATTGAAGTGTTCTTTCAGATCTAGTATCCCTCCTGTCAGACTGAAGTGCTGCTGCTGCTGCTGTACAAATCCAGACAGTGTAAGTAATTCAATGGTTTAGCAATACCCCCATTTTTTATCTATAAAGTGTGTCTTTGAACAAGTGCAGTGTCTAAATTACAAATTACAGTTTTAGGTTGGGAATCTAAGTGCTGCGATGAAAGGTGTAAATTAAATAATCAGGTTATTGAGTGATGGGACCTTTGTCTGGAAGTTTGAAATAGTCATCACTTTTTTCATTAACAAGAAGTGATAATTAACAAGATGTGAGTATTAACGTTAGCTTTAGTCATGAAGGCTTTCAGTGCTGATTCAGAAGCAGATGGAGTACCTATTTATGAGTCTTATTACAGGTTAAGTCAACTGCTATGAATTTGTCTCCCGAATGTGCTAAGGGTGTAATTTATTTTCAGCCACAATTAATTTTTAAAGATTAAAAATACATTGGCTCAGTGAGGGATAATGAGTGTATGGCATAATATGAGAACCTTTTTAGTACAGCTTTAGATGTGAAAGTCATTATGCTAATTAAATTCTTTATAGCTCAGTCTTTTCTCAAGCAAATAGGTGACAACGTTAGCCCATAAACCTAACATGTGACGGTTGTTCGCAAGCAGTAGATGTTTGAGGGAAGGACAGGTTTTGGGTTTGGAGCTTTCACATCAGGCTGTTTGGCATGTTTGTTTCGTGCAGCTTTTAAAAAACACAATACAGCATTTGCTGTGCCCAGACTTTCCAAAGTGTTTAGTGATTTGAAGACTTGGAGACTTGCCTGCGTCTCACAGATATTTCACACACAGTTCTGATACTAACTAACTCTCGAGTTTTATGCTAGCATGGAGACAGCCTCTCTCACCTCAGCAGCCACTAACTCTGATGCTAGACTCTAAAAGGGTGTTCCCAGGTTCCTTCAGAGTGGGTTTTTGGTCTGCATCCAAAATTGCCATTTCTAAGTAAAACCATGTAAATAACAGATAGTATTGCTCCAAATATCTCATGCAAAGTCAAAGCTTCTCTGTGAACATCACAAATACACTTTCAGAGAATTCTAGCTGGACTTCAGATCTTGTTGTCATGTGAGTTAGCAGAACTATTTTGCATGTCTCAGTTTTCCCTTTTAGGTAGCAGTCTGCTTTTTCTTCTGTTTTAAGAGAATCTGTATTGTACACTGATAGAAAATTCTCAACACATTCTCAGAATATGGGCATGTTTCCCAGAGGTTTAATTCAAATAAGCTTACCAAAGTCTTTATTATCTATATTAATGATTCTGGAAAGAATGACAAGAGCCAAATATTCCCTATCTATTTCTCAAAGTATCTTTATAAATATTTTTTTTTTATTTTTTATAAATAATTTTTTTTCTGTTTATAACAATTATATGAGGTTTTTTTTTTATGGCTGCAGTGATACAGGGATGATACAGAATTTAAAATTAAAGTGATTACACAAAGTAACAAACAATCATACAATAGCTGCAGCCAACAGCTTTGAAGAGGCAGAATTATGTAAATATAAAATGAGATTAGTATTTTCATTACTCATATATTTCTTTTTAAATGTAATGATTAGTGAATAATATTTCAGAGAGATTAAGTGACCCAAAGTTAAGATTGTTATTAGCATGTTTAATCATATGGAGATTTTTTAATTGAAGAGGAATTGCAATGCTTACAGCGGCAGTTGGTTATTCATTCCTTTGAATAGCTTGAATTCTTAACAGATGCTATTCCTGTTATCTTCACATCTGGATTATAGCACAGATACAAATAACATTGTGAGTCATAGTTAAAGTCTGTTCCATTTGCATTCATACTTCAATGCTTTTGCAACAAAGCCGACTTCTTCTGGAGTTAGAAATTTCCCTGTTTCTGTCTATCAACTTTGGGAAGTCCTCCTTGGTTAAGGTGCCCCTCAGTGTTGTGATTACATTATGAAAAGTTGTTTAGCCCCAGTCCCAGTAGTTCTAGAGCCACTGTTTTGGCTGTTACAGGGCATGTTGTTTTTTATTGCATTTCCGTGTCTGCAATAGCATCTATGAATGAATCACCAGAACTGATCTCAAACTTGCTCCATCTTCAGGCTAACACCATCACATGAAAGGGAACAGTAACTATTTAAGTGAACTATTTAAGTGAATAAGTAAGGAAGACAGTGATGTTTTTTGTACTTGGAGTTATGCAGCATCTACAGTAGCTCCTGATGCAGAGTTTCTCTTTCAGCTGTAACTATGTCTGATGTGTGCTCTATCTTCTGCCTCTGGTATAGGTAAAGATGTATGAACTATGTATTATGCTGAGGTAATGTAGCATCTTCATGTTGTATGCATAATTTGGTTACATGCTGGGGGAATATTTATATTGTAGCAGTAGTATTTGACACTCCATGAAAATTGGTTTTCAGAACCATGATTTTTCTTTCTGACTCAATAGTGCCAGAATTCTAAATTATTTCAGATAATGTTTTGGTGATGTTTTGGCGGGGTTTTTTTTTTCTTTCTTTCTTTCTTTTTTTTTTTTTTTTTTTTTTTTTCAATTCTTTGTATATTTATTTCTATCTAGGAAATGTTTCCAGACTGCTCATTTTTATTTAGAAGATAATACATCACCTCGAGTGATTTCTGCTCCCCCAGCTCCAGTCTTCCCAGTCTCAGGTATTTCTGGCAACTGTTCTGTGGATTGGTGTTAACTGTTGGAAGATGCTGCTTTATATGTGTCAATAAGAATTCTTCAAATACTATAACATATGTAAACCAGAGATTTGTAACCTCTTGTACAAATCTGTGTAAACAGGTACACTTGATATTGGCAGACGTGTTATTAATAGTCTCTTCTGTAGGTGGCACAGAAGAGACATATCTTCAGTTTACAATGTTGCCTCAAGGACACTCTGTGCTTTGTAGCCTCCCTGGAGTGGCTGCTCATGTAGCCATCTGAGCTACACTAAATAGCTCTAGAGGATTTCACCAGCAGCAGATTCTGTTGCATTTCTGCCTCTAATTGGATTTGTCACCTGTGTATAGACCATGTCCTATTCTTTTTACCAGCAGGATAAGGATGTGCCTCATCTGTCTGCATTTCACTTGCAATTACAGCATGTTCTTCTACTTAAATATTTTACTAGCATAATTACTATGGTATAGTTATGTGAACCTCTCATTAAAATAATACAGAAGTTCAGAATATTATTAGCATCTTCTGATTCTATATCCACCACATTTATTTGGAGAAACTGTTTCCTTTCTTTTCTCAAAGAGTATCACAGGAGCACATGCAGCCTTCCAGTTTTTTCAGTCTGTGTAGAATGAAATAGATTAATTTCATTCATCTACTTAAACCCAAAATTAATTGATTCTGAAGCAGATCCTAAACCATAGTCTCACCTATGAGACAAGGTTATCTTGTTCCACAAGTAATGTTTTTGCAAATTATGTTATTATACAAGGAGATGGATTTTCATGGAATGACTAAAGGAAGAATATCAGCCCTTGTGTGAATAACTAGTAAACACAAATAAATCCCAGACATTGGGCTTCCATTGCAACTGAATTTTAGACATCTTCAATGCATTTTGTATGGATTGATACTATTAGGGGATGCATAACCTATTACTAAATGGTTAAAAAGCAGAGCTATGGCTTGATTTCAGAAAACATGATTATATATGAATGTCAAGCAGCAATCATAGGAAATCTCTGCTTTAAATCTCCATCATTAACTGTATTGAACTACAACTGTATCATTTTCTTACAATTTTTCCTGACCAACTCACCTTCTGGGGAAAGTGTTTTCCATTTTATAATTGCACTTACAGTTATTCTGTAAATGCATGCCTAAAATGCATGTTTTGAAGCTGGAGGTTTTCCTTCTGAATTGGTGATAAATATTGAAGAGAATTTTTTTTTTTTCTCGGTGGCTGAAGATAGAAAAAATATTTTATGGAAAAAGCTGCAAGCACTGAAGAAATAGTATTATTTTGCATGCAACAGATGTCAAGTGAACAGTTATTGTGTTTTCTATTGCACAAATGTTTCAACAGTGTAATTTTACAATTGCACCTAATTACAATACAATGCTAGAAAAGAGTGTAAGGTGTGAAGAGTGTTTTGCAACTGCTAAGTTTAATTCTTATGGCTGTGACCAAAAGCACACTCCACAGATCTCATTATATATTTTCTTCCATAGAATTATATATTAAGTTTTCCTTCCTTTCATTGGCAGAGATAGATCTGCAGTTATTCACAGAAAATGCCGTGGCTCTTCACAGCACAATTCAAAGATGCATTTAAATAGTAATGAATTACAGGGTAGGATTCAGATCCACTATCAAACTCTAAGTAGTTTGAAGTGATACTTGCCATCCAGATATAAAATACATTCTTGGGTTCAGAAGCGATTGAATTGAGAGATTTGCACGGGGAAGGAAACAAAACCTAAGATTTATTTCTCCATTATTGTACTCTCTCTTTGGGTCATTTACCTCCCCGTCTGGTTTTGAGTTTGCGTACCATTGGACAAACACTTCATGCCAGGTTTCAGCTCCAAAGTGTGAAGATTGTGTTACACATTTGTTCAGCTTCTCTTAGGCTTGACTGGATAAATTCACTTTTTGTATTCAGATCCAGTCATATAAGTGGGAGACCAGATGGATCTTAGTACGAATCAACAAATTCTTGGTAACTGAAAGCTAAAATTATTAGGTGAGCTAAATACTGAACATCTGTTGATGTGAATAACAGGTCCTTGAAAACAACATTCAATGTTTCTGATGCTTTGTTCACATATGAAACGGTATGAAATTACAGGTTGTGAAATAAACATATTTCTAAACCATGAAAGGCTTTAAAAAAATCCAACAAAATTATTCTTCGGAACCAAGTCTAAGTGAAATAATGTCATCCTTCAGCAGATAATTACCATACAGATGACTTTGTTTACACAGCATATTTGCAGAAAAGAGAAAAGTCCCAAAGGTTTTTTGATGTTATTCCTGACGCATATTCTACACAAGGTTTTTTTTGTATTTGTCTAAAGTGAAATGGAGATGTCACTTTAATCATATTTATTCCTCAAGAGTGTAGCTGTTTTCTATGTGAGTAGGCAAAAAGTCTTAAACATGAATCTTTCATTTAAAACTTGAAGTATGAAGCCTGATGTGAAAATCTGTGGTCAGAAGTGCCATGGTCAGACATAAGATTATTATCAATAGGTAATCATAGCATCACAAGGAGAGCTGGGAGAAAATTCTGTATGGAAGGTAGTCACTAATGCAATAAAAGATGAAAATTAATTCCTGTTTCTTTTGGATGCCAATGCAAACATACAAGTGTCAGTTAATATGAAAATACTGGCATAATGCTGCTTTAATTTAGTAGGCTTGGAACTATGTGGCTCCGAGTTCCAGTGCAACACTAATCAAAGTGGAACACCCAGAAAACTCTGCCTAATCATTCCTACTTTATCAGCATTATTCAGAGCTGTGCTCTCTCCTTTTGAACATCTTGCAGCAAAGAGCTAATCCTCCCATGTCTCCTTGACTTCACAGGGAACTTTGTGCATTCTTCTATTTACAGCCAAGCTCAGGATCTTGCAGAATCAGCACCTTGATTTGGGGCGCTTACAGACAGAGCAAGACCTAGCAAGGCATTTTCATTATCTTCTTTCCAAATAATTTAGAAATGTACAAGTGTTAGGTAACTATTTTAGAAATGTTAGTGGCATCAAAGGATGTTGCATTTTTTTGGGAGTTGTATATCCAAACTTCATGCCAAGAATTTTATTTCAGGATGTTTTGTGGATTGCCTACATATAAACTGCATTATATGTCACTGGCTTTTTATTCTACATAAATATATTTTTTGTCTTTTCCCACCCCTAAGATGATGTTGGAGCAATTCCAATAAAGCATTTTCCCAAACATGTTGCAGATTTACATGCAAGTAATGGTTTTTCTGAAGAATTTGAGGTATGGCTCTATGATGTAATCTTTTTATTAGCACGTACAAATAATGTTAAGTTTAAATGCCTGCAAACAAAAATTGGGGCATTACATTCTGACTTGGGCACTAGTTTCATGAATGCATGTAAATGTGAGTGCTTTGAGCTCTGTACAGAGTTGATGCATAAAGCCTGGGGAGATTCCTAAAATCAGGACTGGAATACAAATGGGAATGTTTATTATTGTGATATAATACTGAATAACTGTGTGAAAAAAACTGTACAAAGGTAATACAATGTACATTGTTTATCAGATGCAGTGGTAGATGTAAAGCTTTTCCAACACTAATGAAAATTGAATTTTGCAGAAGCTACCCATATTTGCTTGTTCCATTTACAGAGAAAATAAAATGGAAGTAATAATGAGTACAAGTGGCAAGACTTCTGATTAACAGGGGAGCTAATGTAGTCTTCATATGTGGTAGTGAAAGTTTTGCAGTTTCTTTCCTAAAGTATATGGTTCATAAGAGGTATTTCATAATGTTGAAACATGTGCTCTAGTCATATAATGTTACTATCACCATATGTAATTAATGATCTTCATTGTTTTTCCCACTCGTGTATTGCAATCAATTTAAATACGGATATGTTCCAACTTAATTCACATAAGCATTAAAACCCCAAAATACCTAATTAAAGCTGTGCCATTAGCAATTTTTACAAGAGATTTCTAATAAAATCAGTCAGTTGGGATGGAAACAAGTAATTTAGTAGATCTATATTAAGGTAAAACATCATAGTAATATTCCTGTTGCAAAAACAATAATGAAATAAAAATTCAGGGTTTTGCATCTTTAGGTTTTATTTTTGTTTCCCCAGCCGATGTATTTTGATCTAGTTGACCAAAAATTCCATGTCCTTCACATAACCTTCTTCATCATCATTTCTTCTTAAATTCATTTAATATTCAGAATATCTATTTGATTGTGGGCCAAACTTGTAAACTTGTGAATGTCCAATAGATATTCATATATTACACATGGGCATATGCAGTGATGGAACTGGACTCCAGCTTGACTGCTATTAATAAGAGCAGATGTTGAAGGACTGTATGTAAATACAATGGATACAAAGTTCTTTCAGCATTAGTCAGTACAGCAATACAGAAATCAGATTGTTCATTCTAAATTGACCTTTTCCTACAATTTTACTTTTCCTAAATTACAGCAGTAATCTAAAGACCAAATATAGTGCATGTCACTGAGCTACAGCTGCACCATCTGAAATATTTCATGCTAGTTTTAACTATTACCAAAAAAAATCGGTGTCCTCATCATTTCTTGGAGATCTTTTTTGGGTTTATGGACTACTCCAGAAGTAATGTTCAGTTTTTTCTCTACTGATAGAGAACATAGAAGATTAGGGAAAACTGAAATATAGTAATTGTCTTCGCAGAGTTAGCATATATATTTTTTGGGGGGTTTTCAAAATTTTTTTTTTTATTACAAAATAAATCATCTAAAATCTAATTTTTAAACTGAAAACAACATTTCATATATGTATTTAAGTAGATTAAGGTTATTGACATTAAAATGAACTCTAAGAAGTGTTGGGAAACACCATTAGTTCTTTTAGTGATGACAATATATTTGCTGCTTAAAAGTGTGGACCTTATAAATGCTTGAGTTTCCTGTCAGCTAAAGTAATCAATAAATTGAATTAATTTTGTGAGTCTTACAGACTTTGTGCCTGTCTTGTCAAGCCTCTCTTTTTATTAAATTGTTGGCCTCACTGTCAAACCGCTGGCAGCCTGAGTGAGGGCTGTAGCTCTGTCTTTCCCCAGAGTGCTGTGAGGCTGGCTGAACTGCACACAGTCCTGCTTCGGTGCAGGTTTTGCAGCTGAATGCAAAGAGAGAAAAAGCATTCCCCAGAGAAACTAATGCATTTATAAGGACACATAAAAATTCCAGTGAACTGTTACATATATAGATAATCTGGCTAAAGTCTGTGATGTTGCTCATATGTACAATCTTTCACTGGCTTAAAGTCTAACATTAAAGATAAAGATAGGAAAGGAGATACCAGCATTTTAACTGGGAAAATTACCTCTTGTTTCCTTTAGCAGTTATGTCAAAATATTCGGTTTTGTTGTTATTATGGATATATTGCATGACCATAACTGTTTTCCATATAGTAATTGTAATTTATATAAACACTTATCCATTTGTTCTGTGCTGTGGAATTTGATTTTTTTTACTTTTTTTGCATTCATTCCCTCATTAGACACTGAAAGAGTTTTATCAGGTAAGGAATTATTTCACTGCAATTTTTTTAGCAATGAAGTAGTTGTAAAATATCATAGATAATTGGGTATAAGGTTGTGGTTCATTTCATGCTTGCTTACAGTATTTAAAGACACTTTATGTATCTTAATAGTTACTTAATTGTGACATACTTTTTTTTTTCAGGAAATCCAGAGCTGTACTGTAGATCTAGGTATTACATCAGACAGCTCTAATCACCCTGACAACAAGAATAAGAATCGATATATAAACATTGTTGCTTGTAAGTAAAGGCATCATTTGCTGTCTTGTGCGAGAAATCATTATGAACAAGTACAGATTTATACGTTATTAGCGGGAGCAAAACTACTTCTACACTGAAAGCTCCAGCTACTGATCAGCAAAGTGCTCCTTGGAGAGGAGTTAGTATCAGATTTCGCATTTCTTCAAGTTAGTCCTCTGTCATTCTGCTGCTTTGGTGAGCATGTGTTAGCAAGATATATTTGTGTCTTCTGCGATGACCCAAAGGGAGTTGGGATATTTCGTTATAATGCCATTAGAAAGCCAAAGAAGCTTTGATTGTCAAAATTAATCCATCTTCGATTTAGAATAATGGTGATTTGTTGTCTCTATGAGCTTCAAAATCCCTGGATATATCTACTGTCAAATATGAACATAAATGTTCGGGTTTTATGTTGTGTTATGCCTGGCAACAACGTAATACAACAGCTTCATTAGCCAGTACACTTGTTTGCCCATTGCGTCACTCTCCCAGATTTTTCTGCTCTGAAACACATCTATTCAGTTTTGTTGATCTCTTTTTCAAGCTATTTGCTCTGGGGTTTTGATCATTTGGTGGCTCAATACTTCTTTTAATTCTCTGTAGCATTTCAACTTTGTTCTTATTACCAGAAAGGTCTAAATTAAATATATCTTTAGCATTCAGTGTCATTAAAGCTTTATAAAAAAAAGTCAGAACCAAGTCAACTGTCAGGCAGAAGACAGTGTAAACCAGCAACAAGAAATGCCAATCCCTCTGGCTAAAGATGTCTCTAAAGGGACAAAAAAACTCAGGGATTTTCCTCTGCCACTGTGTTTTGTACGTGATCATACAAAAGGTGCTAGCCCAGGAGTTGTTTTAATAAAAAAACAGTGCAGAGACAGCTTAGGGCAGCTGAAGTAGCAAGAATTGTCCTCTATAAGAGACTCAAGTGTAGTTCTTACAATCAGTCCAGACTACAGAACACTTCAGCTCACCCTGATGTACTTACTGTTGACTCTTCAGATGACCAGCATTTTCAAAGTCCATTGCTCTCCAGAGTCCACTCTTTTAACTTGGAATTAAAGTTCCTTAACACTGGTGACTGCTGTCATTTTGAGACATCCCACTGTGCAGATTTGGCAGTCATGACACAGGATTTATGGAATGACACAGGATTTATGGAAGACCTAGACACGTTTACCAGCAGCAGCTGGAGGCCATAGGGGAAGCACATCATAGTGGCTAAAATGACCCCAGGTGCTGCTTTTCAGACCACTAGATTCTGAATCCCTTCAAACTTTGTGTTCATTTCTTTATTTTTCCGCAAATTAGAAGTTTTAATCTTCATATCTAAGGAGAGGGTGTTTGCCTATGTGATTGTTACTGTATTGGCCTTATGTATTGTAAAAATGCATCTCACTATTTTTATGAGAAACAATATAATTCTTACCAAAAATTACTTATTTTCTCCCTTGTTTTACTGCAGATGATCATACTAGGGTTAAATTAGCACAGCTTGCTGAAAAGGATGGAAAACTGACTGATTACATTAATGCAAACTATGTTGATGTAAGTGCCTTTTTCTATCCATTGGCCTATTTATCTGTCAGCCTTTTCTGTAAAAAAAAATTATGTATGTGTGGAGATTTAATTCAAAAAAGGTATCACAATATTACAGATTCTGTTAAAAAAGCTTTTGTGGTCTAAGTTAAGCCTACAAAGTTAAAGCAAAGATAAAATGCCAACTCTTTCTTGAATCCATCTTGATATTGTAGCAGCTGCAGCTTAACAAGGGGCATTTTTAAAGAAAAACTGTCCTGTCACATCTGAGTCATTTTAGAAGTATATCTCTTCTGAGAGGTTAATTCTCCCATCTGAGGTAATCTCATGAGAGGAAGATGCCATTTGGCTCAGAGCCTCTCCAAATACCATTACCAGTTTTCATTACATAATTATTTACATGTGAGTGATCACGATTCATTTTTTAAACCACTTTTGCAATGCATGTCTGTGTGTCTCCTAATCACTATCATGTCAATGTTATGCCTAAACATGGGCATTTGAACATACATACCCTATTTGTTGGAATGATAAACATTGGCATAACAGTTGTATTCCTATGTCATTTGATGCCACAGTGTCTCCGCAATGTCGACAGTTAAAAATTTAAAAGCACTTAAAAGCTTTTCAGAGTCTTTACAAATAAATACATGAAATGTCATGTACACCTCCCAAACTCCTTTTGCTCGTGGACAGTGATTTGACAAGTGTCACTTCTTATATTTCAATTTAGGGCTACAACAAGCCGAAAGCCTACATTGCAGCTCAAGGGCCTCTAAAATCAACAGCAGAAGATTTTTGGAGAATGATATGGGAACATAACGTGGAAGTTATTGTGATGATAACTAATCTCATTGAGAAAGGAAGGGTATGAGTACTGTTGTCCGTTTTTTACTTCTCTGATGTTGGAAGATCTACCTGTAGCAAAGTGCCCTCTTTCTTTTTAAAATTTGGTTTGGTCAATTATTGAGCAAAAAACAATCGTTTTTAGTAGTTGCTTGTACCTGGATTGGCTACAGAAGTATACAGCTGAGGATTTGTAGCATGAAACTAAAGAAAATATTCAATACATTTTGAAAATACCATGTTCTAACCACAAAAATAAAGAACATGCTGAAAAAAACACTACTTGTAAACAATAGGAGTGGGCAGACTGTGGGCCTTGTGCCCACATTCTGCTACCAATCTGCTTCGCTCTTTGCCATCATGCACTTTGTCAGGGTTGCCTTGGACCCTGGAAAGGAGAAGAATGTAGTTCAAGTGAACTTTCCTGGATAGTCACTGTCTGCTCCCTGTTAACATCCCATGGTACTCACAGTTCTTTTCCTACTACATGACTGGACACACATTTATCCAGTGAGACCAAATGGGGCCAAATCCCACCACAGGGTGTGTGTTTCTCTGGTTATGTGATGTACCCTGGGGTCACATGAGGAGACATTGCATCACACTTGCCACACACTGGCAGCAATGCCTAAAATGAATGCAAATCTTGTCATATAAAGCATCTCTCAGATGATACAGACACAGTAATTTCAGATGAGGGCTGACTGGCAGTGCCACTTCATTCATAACACCATGCTGTAAATAAGCACTCTTCTAATACTCTTAGAGAAGGCTGTATGACTACCCAACCAAAAGGCTGGACATACCACAGCTCTCTCCTGTATATTCTAGCCATGCACAGGCTCAGCCTTACCCTCTACCAGATATACTCTGCCCATACTATAAACTAATCAGAAGCCACATACAACTCTACTGACTTGGATGCATTCCTATATTTCCTATAGATCCTGTTATTTTATTTAGGTTTTAGAGTGTCTGTAGAATGGAAAATTCCACAACATTGGATCCTTTTAACTCTAATAGTATGATGTAAGCTTCTTTTTTTGTGTTTTCCAAATAAAGAGCATCTTTGAACAGCTATCCCTCTACAGCACAAAATAATTGTTATTTGTTCTCCTGTACAGAAGATCATGTCTACTATAAACTGGGTATATTGAAAATCCCAATTTGTGCTTTACTCTGCTCTTAAATTTGAACATTTCAGCTTACTAGTTTGACATTTTATGGTCGTTTCTTTTTTCTCTATTATTTATAGAGAAATTTTCTAACAGAGAAAATTTCTTTCTAACAGAGAAAATGTGACCAGTACTGGCCTGCTGAAGGTAGTGAAGAATATGGGAACTTCTTGGTTACTCAGAAGAGTGTTCATGTACTTGCCTATTACACTGTGAGGAATTTTACTCTTAGAAACACCAAGATCAAAAAGGTTTGTGACATCCTAAAAACACAAGTAGGCAAAAGGAAGTGTTAAAAGATGCTCAGAATATTTTTAAGGCTGTTGACAACTCTTTTCTGCTGTATATGTGAAGCTGAATGCTATAGATCTCAGCCAGCCAAGATGCTTGTGAACTTTAGTTAATTTGACCAGATATACAAACTCAGAAAACTGTAGGACCATCAGGGAAAAAGCAGTGATCACATTGGAGAGCTGATGTGGACTTTGCTTGCCTGAGTAGCAGGACAATACATTTTCAGAAAGAGTGCAACTTGAAGAAGATGTGGTATGAGTTAAATTACCCACCTCATCTCTCCATTTTCGTTTTTAAAGACAGGTGAATACACACTTTGGTTTATTGTAACCAGAACCAGCATGATCTCAGCTCAGCAGGGTGATGTTAGCTACTTTGAGGAGAATTCTGAAAACTTAATTTATTCCAGCCACATAAATGTCTGAGACATCTAGCCTCTCACCCTTCCTGCATAACGTTTGGTATTTACTATCAATTAATTTATTCTGCCTATTTTAGGAACCAGTCTCTGAATGAGATTACCTGCTTTCTGAAGGCATCCCTGCCTGTGAGATGCCACGGAGGAAGGGAGCTTAGAAAAGCAGCCCACACAAGGCTACTTACCTTGTAGATCACTAAAGCTGGATGAGATGAATCCTACTCTTTCTGTTCACTCAACAGAGGAGCAGAGTGGCAGGAAGAGCTGGTGACTCTTCGGAGCAGCAGTAACTTGTTACCCTCTAGTGGTTTTAATCTTTCTCTATGGCTTTCTGAGACAGTGTCAGGTCATTTTTCCACTCAGTGGGCAAGCTGGTAAGACAGGAGCACCAGTCCTTCCCCTTCTTTTTGAAGGCTGGAATACTAGAGCCAGATGGCATGCTTTGAACTAAATAGGGATACTACTAGTTCAACAACTATCAGGTATGGAAATAAAATGAAGGAAGATCTGGGCTGCTTACATGTGGAATTATTTTTTTGTTGCAGGGCTCCCAGAAAGGGAGGTCCAGTGGCCGCATAGTGACTCAGTACCATTATACCCAGTGGCCTGACATGGGTGTTCCAGAATATACCCTGCCCGTTCTCACCTTCGTGCGGAAGGCGTCGCATGCCAAGCGCCACGCTGTCGGGCCTGTTGTGGTTCATTGCAGGTGTGGTTTCTAGTGCTGTAAGGTTCACTCCACTTTTGTTTTGCAGAAGAAGAAAAGAATTTTTCAGTGGTGGGTTAAGCAAAATTTCACTCTTGCATTTAACGATTCCTGATGGAGTAAGATTAACTTCTTAGCTGATATTCTTATCTGATATTTCTCTCCTTCATAAGGCCAACTAATCAATCGTGCCACTTCTGCAAATCTGTAAATCTCCATAAGCAAGGTGATGCTGCTGCTCTGCACTATGTTCTTTTTCTTTTTTCTTTTTTTTTTTTTGGTTTTTTTTTTTTTTTTTGGCTAAACTACTTTTACTTCTGTTTTTTGGCATTTCTGTTCTGCTATCTTGAATGCTATGAACTCACCAGATACACGTGTGGGGATAATTGTTTCATTTCTGCAAATATATTGTTAGGATGCTTTTGGCTCATGCTTTATTTGGTGCAGGGATACTCTGTAATCCTAAGAGGAGCTCTGTGCACAAGAGAAGACTCACTCTATTCCTGGCTGAACTACAACTCTGCTGTTTTTAACATTCTCTGGGCTCTTGCAGTCATTTGCAATGGAGGAGCGTTCTGGGGAACGGTTGAGGTCTGCATGTGCCGCAGTGTGCAGGCAGGTGTTCTGTCAGTGCTCTCTGAAACTGGCAGCTCAGGGAAAATTGGTTGAAAAGGGCTTGTAGGGCCTGGAATGACTTCACAATGCCCATGAAGGACTGGGTTATTGTAAAATATATAAGCAGGTTCTGGTTTTCCACTGTAGTACCTCACCTTTGATGGAACATTTGGAAAGAGAACCTCCTCATGAATTCTGTCCTTCTGGAGCTGACACTGAGAAAGCCAACAGGTAAAGTCACCTCACAAATGCTGCAAATGAAGATATTTTATTTGTGGGATGATCTAATCTGACTGACATCTGTTTTTAGCTTGGAAAATGAAAATTCCATTTCTTGTTGTTCTGCTGCTATTTACATCCTGGCTGTTCTTGGGAAATTCAAAATTTCAAGTCTGATATTGCTGAGATATTGGCAATACATTAGGAGTCAATTAAATTGAGTTTTTAAGAAGTGAACAGTGGTAAGTTGTGTGGCTTCAGTCAGACCTCTCCCTTGGGTCACAGGTATAACTCACCTCTGCCTGTAGGCAGTTTTTGTTTTGTACAGTTTTTAGCTAAACTGACCACTATGCACTATGGAATTTCAAAGGAATCATCTCATGTTTGAAATATAAATGTTATTTGCATTTACAGGCTATATGGAAGACACAAATGATGAGATTCATAAAACTTATTGTAGCTATTTTTATTTGGTACTTTTCATGTTTTGTCGTTCATAACAAGTAGAGATGGTGTCTGGTAATCTTTGTACTTCTTTGTGTCTAACAGGGTATTAACAACCTGGACCTTTGAGTTTCATATTATACTTATTTAGACAGTTTATTACAGCAATCTGATCTCACTCTACCTATGCTCTGTGCCCCCTCTGTGGCAGAAATGAGATGACTGAATTAGCATGTTTGGACTGAGCTGGATCTGCCCACAGGGGATCATGCAGACCCAGCACAGTGCTGCTCTCAAGTTGCATGTACAGTATACATAATGTTCCTTCATATCTTAGAGGGGAATTACAATGGACTGTTTCCCATATATGACTAGATAACAAAAACTGACCTCTTGACCTTGTACTTCCTACCCAGATATTTTATTTAAAAAAAAAAAAAAAAAAAAGTTTTTCTCTAATTTTATGATACAGCTGGTTTTATGCTCTGTTAATCCAAGTTCATAACAGGAATGAGTTGATTAACACTTTCTTCTCCATTTCCTATTTTTAAAAAGGTTTGCAAAAATTGCTTGCCATCTTAACTTTGTCTAAGGAGCACTAAGGTTTTTTCTTTTACAGATATACTCTCAAGAGTTCTGCCATTTCCTGGGGTTTATCTTTGAAATCTCTTGTACTGTAGTGGGTTGCATAATGCAACTTTTGCTTTAAAGTGGGGTTTCAACACAGAAGAATTTGAACATATTAACTGTGCCCAAGTGCTGACGTATACCACCTTATCTAGATATACCTGGCAAAGTATCCTAAGGAATATCAGAAGGCTGAAAATTGCAGATCTGCGGGAAATCCCTTAGTTCTATTTCAGCCAATAATTTAAAAACCATTTGAGAAAATGATCTTTAGGTCTCTTCTTGTACAGAGAAAAAGATTGCTATCAGCCTTGAACCTTTAAAAAAGTATATCATATGATAAATTCATTTGTAGAGGAAAAGCTTCCATATGCAGCAGTTTGTTGAAAAAGCTATGTGTATGAAAAACTTCTTTACATTAGTGTTTTATTTCAGGCTCAAGACCATTTTTTTATTTTATAGTGCTGGTGTTGGAAGGACAGGCACATACATAGTGTTAGACAGCATGCTGCAGCAAATTCAGCATGAAGGGACAGTCAACATATTTGGATTCTTAAAACACATACGTACCCAAAGGAACTACTTGGTGCAGACTGAGGTAAGAATGAAATATAAATGGCATGAGACTGTTACAAACTTTCTGTTTGCAGGAGAAGAGATAAAGCAATCCTCTTTCTGGCACCACCAGACAGACAGAAACCAGCCACCAGATTAGATTTTCTCTTTTGCTTCCCTTGGTTTTATAGAGACATCCTTCTAGGCACACTGAGAGCAGTGCATTAGAAATTACCTTTCCTTGGGCTCTTGTCTGTTTATTAAGGAGGACTCAGAAGGAGGTCTGTACAAATCATGCTTCCTACAGCAGTGCTTTCCTGGCACTACTTGTATTTTTGTCATGTTCCTTTGTGAGGAAACACCATTGTCAGGCATTCAGATCTTCACTGAACCTCATCAGTTTATATTAGGCAATAAAATATGCTAAAAAAGCTATTTCAGACAGAAAATTGTATATAGGTGCTTCAAGCTGAAGATTATATATAGAATATTGAAAGACCAAGAGAAAACAATAAGGGCAACAGCAGGGCATTTGAAAGTCTATTTCAGGTTTCAAGAACAGGTGGTTAGATTCCCCAGTGCCTTTCAATAGGAAAAAAAGTTAATCAACAGCTAGGGCGCTTGTTCCAAAGGATGTGAGAGAGAAAATAGAGAATAGCAGTAGGAACTAGGGGTAGGACTGGCTTGAAAATTTTACTCAAGGCTGTGCTTGCATTTTTACCTCAATACCGTTAATGTGAGATATCACAGGTAGTGAGAATTTGATATTAAATCATACATATATATGTGTATGTATGTATTGCAAATGTAATTGTCCAGTTGTGCTTGTAATGCGTGTACTGTCACTGCAGAGGGACAGCCTTTGCTATAGAGGAAACATTTGAGAAAACCCCTGTGAAAAAATTTGAGAACCCCTGTGAAACATTTGAGAAAACCCCTGTGAAAAAATACTGACCACATCAGTAAGTGGCAGCCTAACCAGAGGTATCCAGGGGAATCTGAAAATCATGAGAGCTCAGATGTTTGGTTGTGTTTTCCTAGGAGCAGTACATCTTCATTCATGATGCGTTGGTTGAAGCGATACTCAGTAAAGAAACAGAAGTCCCTGAGACTCACATTCATGCCTACGTTAATGCTCTCTTGATACCTGGACCAACAGGAAAGACCAGACTGGAAAAACAATTCAAGGTGAGCTCTCTGAGATAGTAGTGTGAAAATCTTTGTTTGTAAACCTGAATGACTTAAAAGTAGGTATCTCAACACAACTTTCATCAGCTTTCTCTACCTAAAATTTAACTGCTGAGCCTAAATTAAGATTAAATTTATCAAATGAATGCAGTTGATTGGGACAGAATTATTTGCATACTCTTAAACAAGGAATCTACCCAAAAAATCCACAAAAAAGAGATCATGAGAAATAGGACAGTAAGTAGATTTTGGAAAATTTAACGTGCCTTTGCAGGAAGATCTCGAAGGTAAAACAGCAGTCTGGAAAGATACCATTCTGGCAGATATATCAGACTTCACCTTCAAAGATATGGTTATTGATCTATTCAAGAATAGATCAAAGTTCAAGAATATTTTGAACTGCTAAGAAAAGTGAAGAAAAAATATTCTGGTGACTTGCTAAGTAGTTTAGACAGATAACTAGAAAACTAAAATTAAGGGAGACAGCAAAACTGCAATATATGCACCCTTTTGTTTAATGCAGCTTATGAAGGAATGGCTTTTCTGCAGTTACCTGACTTTTTTTTTAACTTCATTGTTTCAGTTACTGAGCCAGTCTAACACACAGCAGTGTGATTATTCAACTGCACTCAAACAGTGTAACAGAGAAAAGAACCGAACCTCATCTATCATTCCTGGTAAGCTTCTTCAAATCCTCAACAAGAACTGAAGACATCAGCATTAGTTTGGAGCAATGCTCTGTAAAGAACATTACAGTGAAGAAGTGAATTACGAATTACACATAGAAAAACAAAATAGATGGCTGGATAGCACTTTGTCCCAGTTGATGGAGCACAGTGTTATAATTACTGTGAGATGTGAGATAATTGCTATAATATTATAAGAATCATCGCAACATGCATGTGAATTCATAACTTTTTTTACAGTGGAAAGATCTAGAGTGGGTATCTCATCACTATCTGGTGAAGGCACAGACTACATCAATGCTTCCTATATTATGGTAAGTCAGTTAATCTATTGGTAAAAAACAATGAACAGCTGTTTTCAGAGCTGCCATTTGGTTGATTAAGGGTGCCACAATCCTGATTTTGAAAGTTCCTTTCTTTGGTTATTCACTCTGCCTTAAAGAGTTAATTCCCTCAGGAAGTACTATTACCATTATTACTGCTTTTAGGATTGGTTAAGTGCATTGCATTTTAACAATCTGTAGAAACAGAAATCACATCCTCATTTTAAAACCTGGTAAAGCTAAATGCTTTATGGAAAGATTATTTGAGATGAACTAAATATCTAAATGTGTTAACTAACAAGTTTGCTTTTAAAGGTTGTGTTTGTCTTCCTACTTGCTCATCTTAGAGTGCCTTTGCAGGTGGCATAGCCTAAGATTACATAGTTCATCAGCTTTCCATTATCTTTTTGCTTTCTGGATTTTCTTCAACTCTTTCCCTCTTGAATAGCTGAGAGGGAGGACTAAATGCCTCCTGGACATTCAGGGAAGAGATGGCAAATCTCTGAGCTGTGGTATTAGAAAATGACCTTTTATTTAGAAAATAAAGAAGAGATGGCAAATCTCTGACCTTTTATATTAGAAAATGACCTTTTAGGTGCATTACTGCATAGGAACTCTCTTTCATTTCATGGTAAGAGACTGATCTATCTGTACAAATTAAGAAACTGCTTGGGATTTTTGCAGATCTTTCAAGTATTCTTTTATTTGGTTAGGTAGTCAGCTCCTCTGGAATGAGGATAAAATATTTTTATTCTGACTTGGCTGTTTGAGTCTTCTCTGATCTCTTTTCTCCTTTTTTATCAAATTTTTAAGTCTTAATATTTTTTTCAATGCAATTGAATCTATTATTTTCACATGGAAAATATTTACGCCCAAGTTTTATATTTTTCTAATATTTGCAGGAAGCTAAAAAAAGGAACAAGTGTGCAATGCATTTTCTGTGTTCTCACTCTGTCCACTAGGAGCTTCCTTTAAGCATTAATACTTGGGAAGCAATTCCAAATCTGTACTTTTTTTTTTTTTTTTGGCAGGGTTATTATCAAAGTAATGAATTCATTATTACTCAGCATCCCTTACTGCACACTATCAAGGATTTCTGGAGAATGATATGGGACCATAATGCCCAGTTAATAGTCATGCTTCCTGATAGTCAGAACATGGTGAGTTCTGTGGTTGATTGTTACGAATTTATGTATGAATTTTATTAGTATTACCATTTTGGAATATGCAGGATATGAGAAAATGTCTTGGATTCTGCAAAAAACAGTTAAAATTAATAATACCAAGCGGAGTGTAAAATCCTGAAGTCATCTAGCTGAAATCTAGAAATCCTTGCCTAGGCAGATTGTGATTGGAATGAAAATGTATTGAATCAGTCCTCTATAATTTATACGAGGAGGCAAACAGCAGAAGCAACCATTATGCAAGGTTAGTTTTTGCTCCACGACTTTTCAGTTGCATTATGGCTTCTTAGTCATTATTAGCTAAGGGCAAAAGTGTGAGGTCGTTTCTCACAGCAGCAGCTGGTGGGACCTGGGCAGGGCCAGGAGCACCAGTGGCCAAGCATTCCTCACACAGGAGTGGCCAGGAGCACTGCCAGCAGGGGGGCACACAGGGCATGGGGCCTCAGTTCGGGCAGGAGGACGTAAGGGCGCTGAAGCCCTGGCAGCTTCACCAGGCAGCGGTGGTACCCGCCCAGCACACAGCCATGGCCTCTCTGAGCTCTGCATCCACAACTGCAAGCCAGCCCACCGTCCCAGGTGGCAGGCAGGCAGGACACACGACAAGGAGGATTCCCTATCCATCTGGCCATTTTGGTTATTTAAACTATTATAGGATTTTCTTAAAAATAAAAAACTCTTTTCATTTCTACTGTCAGACAGAAAGGATGCTCCCATGAACTTTTTTCTGCACTTTCAGATAATCCCAAGACCACACACTCATTAGAACACACCAGCTAAATTTATCACATGACCATGAGCTACGTACAGCACAGCACAACCCAAAGGCCAGGCTGGATGTGTGGCACTATGCAGCGCTGCAGGTTCATTGCTATGTAGGTCCACAGGGCACATTGACCACTACAGAGGTGTCTGAAAACCATCACTTTGCCATTGTTATCCCACTCAAAATTTGATTTGTCAATTTAAATCTAGATGGCTTGAATGATTATATGTGACACATTATTTATTATGTTGGATTTCATATTTTAAGATTATTTGTATTTTTATATTTTAATTTGTATTATTGTATTTTAACATTGTTTATTTTTATTACTCCAATTTTGGGTTTTTTTCCTGGAGGCTGAAGATGAATTTGTGTACTGGCCAAACAAAGATGAGCCTATAAACTGTGAGAGTTTCAAAGTCACTATGATTGCTGAAGAACACAAGTGTCTGTCTAACGAGGAGAAACTCATAATCCAAGACTTTATTTTAGAAGCTACACAGGTAACACTGTCATAAACATATAACTCAGGACTTGATTTTTTAAAGGTAATGCCCACGTTTTTTGCATTTTCCATGCTAAATTACTGATAAAATATCCACGCCCTAGAAACATCCATGGAGGGAGTAATGTCTATAGGGTAGTATGATGACATAGCAAATAAGGTAGCCCAACCTCACAGCAGTGGGGTTCTGCATCTGGAGGCTGGAGCTGGAACAAAGCGAAGGAAAAGAATAAAGAAAGTCAATCTTTTACAAAATTGATTTATGGGTTTTTTTTGTTTGTTTGTTTTTAATCATTTAGGATGACTATGTACTTGAAGTGAGGCATTTTCAGTGTCCAAAGTGGCCAAATCCTGATAGTCCCATTAGTAAAACTTTTGAACTGATCAGCATCATCAAAGAGGAAGCTTCCAACCGTGATGGGCCCATGATTGTACATGATGAGTAAGAACTGCACTTTTCTGTTTGTTTTGATGTTTTTCTGTAGAACCATCCTTTCACTGTGTGAAAGCAGCTGAAACAAGGCACAAAGTCTGCACTTAACAGTAGTGGTGATGCTTCTGTTCCAGCTGCATCAACAAGAGAAACATTTTTACTGTATCATACTTCATTTCAGTTTTATCATTTTGATACTCTAGATGGTTATCAGGTAGGTCACTAGAGGGGAAGCCAGTTAAGATTTCATTGCCTTTTACTGAAAGAAATAACTGTTTAGATGAGGCACCATACTGTTCTCCAGATTTTCAATAATGGCAAAAATAACAAAATGTTGAAACACTGAAGGACCCAAAGCCTTCAGCATTTGGTTATTAGAGGATTAAAGAGAAATAATTCTATGAAGTTGTAGCTAGGTGCTGTGAAAGTTATTTTAAGCCAGTGCTGGGTAGACCTGTTTAAGATATCGTAAATATCACATGACAGAGATTCATCTTACCAGTTTGCCCCAGAATTTGTATTTTTTCCAGCTGTAAAACCTGGCCCAGTTTCTAGAGTTTTGTTTTGTTTTGTTTTACTTTACAAAGGCATGGAGGGGTCACAGCAGGCACTTTCTGTGCATTAACAACTCTGATGCATCAACTGGAAAATGAGAATTCAGTGGATGTTTACCATGTAGCAAAGATGATAAATTTGATGAGGCCTGGAATCTTTACAGACATTGTAAGTAATAAGCAAAATGTGCATTTTGTTCCCCTATGTGTGACATTAGATCTTAGGGCAACATTACTGAACTATTTTGCATCTTAGTTTCTGCGTGAATTAATCAAAACTGTCTTCCAGAGGTGCTGTAGAAAAAGAAATCTTCCTGGAAAGAATTCAGAGGACATAAATGAGAAAAAAGCCAACAGACAAATAGTAACTCTAACCCTGTCCCCATATTTGCAATTGACTTTAACAAGGGTCAGAGTTAGCATATAAGATTTATTTTAAAATACAGTTTTCTCCCCTACCTTTACTGTGCTCCCTATTGTTGTGCTTTACATTGTGTGCAGGGGGAGCCGTTAATCAGAAAATAATAAAGCTGCTAAGTAACACGAAAAATTCTGGAGCACAGTACTTTACAGACTGTCACATCAGCTGTTAAATAATTTTGAGCAACAGTGCCACAAGATAACTATTTCTGCCAACATCCTGAGTGTACCCTCTTTTCTCCTCCAGGAACAGTACCAGTTTCTGTACAAAGCTATTCTCAGCCTTGTCAGCACAAGACAAGAAGAAAACCCTTCAGCATCTATGGACAGTAATGGCTCAGCTTTACCTGATGGAAATGCAGCTGAAAGTTTAGAATCCTTAGTTTAATTAGCACATCAAATCAAACATACACATCACAGCATCACACCAATCACACCTGGAGTTTACCATTATTATTTTCAGTTTTATACTTTGGGTGGGGAAGATCTGTCCAGTCACTATATATAAAATCAGACCCCAACCATTGCTCAAACCAAGTCATTTCTGTTATCTACAACTTTACTGTGGAACTTTTATCATTAACAATGTGTGCCTTTTCTTGAAAGATTTCTTGTAATACATTGTTACAGCTGGACTAACTTGATTGACTTTTACAGTGTTTCTAATAATTGAATTGTGGTATGTTTTTTCAGTATTAGGTTTTTTGATTTATCTGGCTTTACTTTTAACTTAAAATTACCATATTTATAGATGTTAGGGAATTCTCAATTACAAACATGTCATGGGTTTAGTATTTGGTTTATTCGCTGTATTTATAACAATTTACATTTGCTAGAAATGCAACTTTTAATATAGTAGAATGTAAATAAGATACTGTTCTACATAACATTCAACATTTTAAGACTTCAATTAGACATTTAGAATAGTAATCTGATACTTACTGTAAATACTGCTACTTCTGTAGTGATCCATGGACCAAATTTATATTTATAATTGTAGATTTTTATATTTTACTACAGAGTCGGTTTTCTAGTTCTGTGTAATTGCCTTGTTAAAATGATGTAGTCAGTATGTTTTTACTTTAACAAAGTCTTCTGAATATACAATTGTGCATCTTAAGCAATTTACCTTCATATAGCTGCATGTGATTTTAACTTTTTGTGGGAACTAGAAATCATTTGTTTTGAAATGAAAACTTTTTATGAGACTAACACTGTACTTGGCATTGTTAAATTGTTTTTACCCTGGTATTGCAAAAATAAATATAAATATTCCAGTCTGTGCGTAGTAGTCTTCCACGTAAACAGTCTGCACTGTCATGCAGGAGAGATTTTACTTACAAGAACAAGGACTTAAGGCTGATCTGCAGACAGCTGCTCTTCCTATGGAATCCACGAGTTCAGGAGACATTTATAGAAAACTTTTATGTTTTATAATCTCTGCTCCTACCCATACCTACAGTGTCCACATTAGCTCCTTTTTTAGCATTTCCTCCCACATCTCCCAGTCTGGCTGTCCCAGGTGTCCCAATTTTCTCAGCTGGCCCCCTCCCAAGACACCTCTGTGCTGGCTTGGCTTCAGATCATTCATTCAGCTGCTGAGCCCTTTGCTGCCTCCTTTGGCAAAGCAGCAGCCAAACTTTGGGAGCAGTAAAGCGAACAGTCTGCAAGAACAGAACCAAAATGTTTCAAATTGACCTCAGTCATTTTCTGTAACCTTCAGAACTGGCAAGAAAAGATACTGATTGTACTGAAGGCTGTGCCACCGAGGGGCTGGAGGAGCCTGGAGTAAAATGTTCATTTAAAACAAGTGTGGGCAGCAAGACCAACCACCAACTATTTTCTCACTTTATATATTTAGAAATATTGAAAGCAGAAATACTGTCCTGGAGTAGAATGCACAGAAAATAATGGACCCTATCTGAGATGAAAACTAAGCATGGCAAAAGACAGGCCTTGATGTGAGCCTTGAAGATGTTAGTTGACCGATTCCTAGAGAAGGCATGTGTAAGGGAGTTCCTTGTGTCAGCAGATAGATCTAGACCCCTCAGCAGTGTGGGATTGAGGAGAGGTGGAGCTGCAACAAAGCCAAAATAAATTTAGATTTAGAGGAATCTAAACAGCAGAATCTTTAAAGAATCCTCATACTATTGATACATGAAATGAGCATGAAGGTCCTAGACAAGGAGACAGACTGTCACAGAATGTCAAAATAGCTAGCAGTGAAGGAGGTATTTTTATGTTCTTATCCTCTTTTATTACAAAAAAAATAATCATATAGACAAAATAATGTATCACCAAATCACAGGGACGGTGTAAGGTTGGAAGGGACTACTGAAGGTCATCTAGACCGTGTAACATAGAGGTGTTTATAAAACTGTGTTAGAATAGTAGTGACCACTTCTGTTTATAGACACAGCAGTGCAGTCACAGAGGTTATGGAGTGTTGAATCCATTTTAGCCAGGACTCTGGAGGTTTCCCTTTCCCCATCCACCAGAGCTGCATGCAGGATGATTGCCCTGTCAGCCCAATGGCCCTGTGCAGACCCAGCCAGGGAATGTGCAGTGCACATGTTCCACACACGGAGACACACGTGCATACACACACACAGGATGGTAGAAATAGGATTCATGACACAGAGAACAGGACTAGGATTTAAGAAGGGGGCAGGACAGAGGGCCATGGTCAGACACAGGGCATGAATGGGTGAAGGTACTGGCCAGCAGCCAGCACATACACATGCAAGCACATTTTACCCCTCTTCTCTCCTTATTCCTGTGCCTATTGCTTCCCTGTTCTCCTTAGTGCTTCTGTTTCTCCAACTTTGTCTATCTCTTTGCAGGTAAAAAAGTTCTTAACTAATTACTTTCATGAGTAGGTTGCCACCCCATACCCAAATGTGAAATGTCAGATGCTGCTACTTAGATCATCTCAGCCACAATGGTGTTATCAACTTCCCTGGTACTTCTTAGCTCACAAGCTTTTCTTTCCAAAAGGTCTCCCCCAGAGCTTGGCCTTCCCTCACATAGCTTCCCATGAGCTGCCTGTGTAGCACCACAAGACTTCATGGCACTCTTCCTAACTCCTGTCAGCTGCTCATTCTTGCTCTCTCCAGCAAGTTTCTCAGGATCTCTGCAGGTAGCTCAGCCTTAGGCCAGGGGTGCCAGCCACGAGCCTGCAGATACAAGTATTCATTTATTTAGTTCAAAGATATAATTAGTTCATTAAATAATTCAGAGGGAACCTACTTTCCTGGACTAAAATGTCTTTATTCAGCCTTTACACTTATTTTTTGTTTTTTAATCCTGTGGTTCTTGCTATGGTTGCATAATTGGTAATTCTGAAGTTCAGGAAGAACAGGACTGAGATAGGACTTCTAAGTGCAAGCAAAAATGCAATGTATAACTTGTGGAGTTAAGTGCTGTGAACAAATAGGATTTAGAACTATTTTAAATTGCAGAGTTTAGGGGTTGACAGGAGTTTAAAATGTACATAATAGGTACATTGCCCCAAATGATGCACTTTTTTAAAGCTTTACACATATACATTTTTCACAGTGTTCAGACACAAATTTGATGCGTACAAAGTTGTGTAATGGTTGTGCTTTGCAAAATTGATTATTTTCTTTCTCAGGTGTCCTGAGGGTTGCTTACTGTTTCTTCTAAAGCACTCAGATTTGCTGACAGACTCCATTTGCACATATGGCTACAAGGACAGCAATATTATGCTCTTCCCCCTTCTTATTCAAAAATTAAAGAAAAAATTTTTGATATCCTAATCTCTAGGGGTGCACATACCAGAAAGGTTAATTGTGATTTTATGGCCAATTGCAAACCATATTCCATAACCTTATTAGCAGATACTATACTTCTGCACTTCACCACATTAGCATCTCACGTGCTACTTATTCGGCCTTTTCTTCTGGAAAACTGGCTTGTTGCCTGACATACCAAATAACAAGCATGAAGTTACCTTCTGCTAATGCATTTACAGTTTGATATAGTTGTATATACAAAGTAATTTTTTGACCAATTAATTCTGTTGTTTTTTCAAGCATCTATGGATCAAAAACCAAAAAGGAATCCTCCTTTCTAAAATCCCATCTTGACATAACTGTTCCTTTCAACCTAAATTTTTTGCAGACATTTTAAAATTGTAATCCAAGCTGTCATTCAAAGTTTCTTTCAGAGATGTTTGTAATCACATTCATCATCTTAGCATGCTGACAAGTTATTTAAAACATAAGTGCTTAAGATAATCTCTTTACTCACACATATTGGTTCTGATCTAGAAAAAAAATAAGAATCATAAAAAATCTTCTATAATCTTCAACTGTGATGGATTATAGATTTTAATAAATGCGTGTCAGTTCCTCTCTCAGACAAAGGCCATATTCTAATTAATTTTTTTCTTATAATCCAAGCCACAGACTCAAAAGACATATAGACTGCCTATTCAAACTGGGTCAAGTGTGGAGAAGATGTTATGTATCTCTGGCAAAAAGTAAGATATTAATAAACAACATCAGGTTAAGCTTTTTTCTTCACAAAGCTGTAAGTCGTGTGACAGGGAAAACTTGATTAGTCCTCAGAATCATAGAAGAGTTGAGAGTTTAAAAAAAAAAAAGGAAACAAGTAATTTCCTATCATCAACTTTTTAGTGATTGTGATGTGGAGATTTAATACCTATGGAAAAGCTTTTCAAGGATCAGAAGTGGTGAACCAAATTCATAAAAACTCACCACTATCAGTACAACAACAAATCAGCTAAAGGCTTCAAAAAATCATTGGACTTCAAAAATCAGTTGACAAAACTAGTTAGCAATGTTTTATCACAATGCTTTACCTGGCTTTACAATTCTTTGCTATGTCCGAGGATAATGTGAGTAATTTCAGACAGGTTGAAATTCTCTGTGGTAAATGCTTACTTCAAGATTAATTTAGCAAAGTTAAACTCCTTTTTCTCTCATTCTGAAGTATAAACAAAGCACAGCTGAGGAGGAGAGGAGCAATATTGTCTTGTTGGGATTAAAAACAGACACAAAGGCCCCACTGCTGTCCTAGGTCTGAGGTATCATAGGTTACAGCCTTAGTTTTCACTACTTCACTGCAGCAAGGCCCATGTCTGACCATCCACTTCGCACAGGTTTGTGCTTTGGTGGATTAGGGTTTCAAAGGCACAAGAAGGAAGAGAAGTGTCTCTCACAATATTTGGCCACATCGTGTCTGACTCCTCTCCACTTCAAATTGCATTCTTTCTTTTTGAAGCCAAAACAAGTCGGGGGGGGAACCCTCTTATGGAATGGAATTCTTATGGCTAATGGAATTAGTTTCTTTGTTTCTGGAAAGTCACAACCTGTACACAGTAGTTTAGTAGGAATATATTTGAGATGGTCTGATTTGCCTTGATAAATTTTGCTAGACACTCACAGCTAAATTTCTTTTTTCTCTCTGTCTTTCTCTCTGTCTTCTTAGTTTTCCAGCCTAATCACAACCACTAGAGCCCATTTTTTTCCCTCCCAGCTATAATAAACAGCTATTTTGCTATGAGCTTACACCCTTTTCCAGCAGTGTCACTTTGTACTCCAGTCCCTCCAAGGGATATAATTCTCACCTGTAGGAAAATCTGGGGCTGAGAGAGTGAGAAACACAGAGGCAAAGAAGTCAGTCTGAGTGTAATGGGGCTCAAGCACCTCCATCTCAAAAAGAAATTGTGATCTTACATGTCATGAAGATCTGGCATTAGCATAAATTCCAAAATGAAAAAATGAGACACACAGTGAAACAATCTGTTCCTTGAAGCCTGATATGGACAAAGAGTTTAAAAGCCTTTCAGCACAGACAGTGATAGCAGAAGCCATGTGCTCAGCTGAGCAAGGTCCTCAAGCTGAGACAGGCTGTGAGACACCAAGGTTCCCTACTTTCCTGGGGCACAGGGAGGTATCACACATCTACTGTTCTGTAGCTTAGCACTTTGGTAGTTGTCCTTGTGCCCAAGATCAAAACGTCCTGGGGAAAAAAAGATCTCTTAGGATTATAGCTGAAAATTATCTAGATACAGATATACCTATATATCTGCATATATATATATGTATATAAATATATAGATGACAATGTTTAAACAATCCTTGAAGAGTCTTCTCCTGTGAGTCTAGCAAGAAGGATGCAGAGGTATTTCATGCACATAGAAAAGTCCATGTGTAGGCATCCTTTCAATGTAACCATCTATGTGAAAAACAAAATCCCATTCGGGTACATCCTATTATTAGACTGTAAA